GGTTGGAAGACAGAGGAGCCAGATTTCAGTTGAGGAACTTATTGGAAACAAGGCTAATAAAGTCTTAGAGGGCCTCAAAAATCAGGCTAAAGGGTTTTAAACTTATATAAGCTGTAGAGAATTAACTTTTTTAAGGTTTGGTTTTTTATTTTCATTATAACTTATTCTGGTAAACTTAAAATAAGTGTTTTAATAAATACATTTAACATGTATATAAAATAAGTTATATAAAGAACTAAAAAGAAAATATAAAATATTTTCAAGAATTAAAAAGAACAGGGCGCCTGGGTGGCTCAGATGGTTAAGCATCTGCCTTCAGCTTAGGTCATGATCCCGGGGTCTTGGGATTGAGCTCTGAATTGGGCTCCGTGCTCAGCGGGGAGCCTGCTTCTCCCTCTGCCTCTCTCTGTCTCTCCTGAATAAATAAATAAAATGTTTAAAAAAAAAAAAAAGAAAAAGAACAGGGACACCTGTGTGGCTCAGCCGGTTAAGCATCTGCCTTGGGCTCAGGTCATGATCTCTGGGGCCTGGGATCAAGCCCCACGTAGGGCTCCCTGCTCAGTGGGGAGTCTGCTTCTCCCTCTGTCCCTCGCCCTGCTCGTGCTCTGTCTCTCTCTCAAATAAATAAAATCTTTGAGAGAAAAAAACATTAAAAAGAACATTATGGTCATCTATAATCCCACTGCCCAGTAGTAACTGTTTTGATTTTGATTTATCTTTTTTTAGTCTTTATATGTAAATATATATTTTTATAAAATTGGGATCCCTGCATAATGTTTTCTTCATTTAACATTACATAATAAGCATTTCCCAATCATTAAATAGTCTAAGAAATCAACATTTTTTATTACATTTTTTATTATAGTCCATTGTGTAGGTGCATCTTTTTATCAGAACCCCTTGGTGGGCAAGACAATTGTTTCTAATTTTCTGCTATTTGAAGTAACACTATGATAAACACCACTGGATATAAACTTTATCTCTTTCTCTTATAATCATTTTTTTCTTTTTATTTTATTTTTTAAAGTAATCTCTGCATCCAGTGTGGGGCTCGAACTCACAACCCCGAGATCAAGAGTTGCATGCTGTACCAACTGAGCCAGCCAGGTGCCCCTCTCATAATCATTTCTGTGTGGAATTAAGAGTGATTTTTTTTTTTTTAGAGAGTTAACTGGTCCAAAGAAAATGAACTGAAAGGTTTCATAATATGATTGAACAGTTGAATGTGATGTTTTGAAAGTTTTAATTTTAAGCAGATTAAACAAGTAGTGGTAGGCAGTAGAAATTCACTACTACTTCCCAATTTCCCAGTTTCCTCTGCTTCCCAGCTCTTTAGTCTTTAACCTCAGTCCTTGTGATAGACAGGAATGGCTGTCTGTCCAGGACCCTATCTCTGCCCTCACGGCTTGGCTTAGGTGACCATCAAGCATCCACCCTGTTGTCCTGTGATACAGATTCCCACCCTCACCCTCAGCATGTCTCATTCCCCCTGTCACAGTTGCCTGTGTCCTTGGACTGCTATACAGAGCCTCCTGAAGATAACCTGGCCCTCCTTCAGCTCTACTTCCGGGCCCTGGTTACGGGTGCTCTCTGTCCACGTTGGTGCCCTGTGCTCTATGCTGTGGCCGTGGCCCATGTCAACAGCTTCATCTTCTCCCAGGACCCCAAGAGCTCAGTAAGTTACATCTCCATCTCCAGAGGGAGGAAGAGAGACTGCGACTGAGCTGCCTCTGGGTCAGCTGGGCAAGAGAGGAGGGTCGGATGAGGCCGGTGATGGGTATCAGCCCTTGGCCCTTGGCCCAAGTGCCATCTCTCCCTCCCTGTTCTGCCTCTAGGATGAGGTAAAGGCTGCCCGCAGGAGCCTGCTGCAGAAAACTTGGCTGCTGGCAGATGAGGTAGGATGGGGCACATCCCGGAGGGGGGTAAAATAGTAGGTCTTGGGGGTGGCAGAGATCTCAACAGGATCTCAGTACCTACTTCACAAAGTTTCTTCCCTTTTTGCAGGGTCTCCGGCGGCACCTTCTCCACTATAAGCTCCCTAATTCTGCCCTCCCAGAAGGCTTTGAGCTATATCCCCAGTTGCCCTCTCTGCGCCAGCAGTACCTCCAGAGACTGACCTCAGGGATGCTCCAGAATGGGGTGTCAGAGGCCTAGTAGAGTTGCTACAGATGAAGACATGGATACATTCTGCTGGGGTTCACCAGCACATGCCTGGCCAGACAAAAGGATTTTGTGTACTAAGGGTGCACAGGAGACAGGAGCAGAAGGCTTGCCTTCCTGGGAGCAGGCCATTTGAGCTTTTTTGGAGCAGGGTGAGCCCTGCCATTATATCCTGATGTCTGAAGCTCAGTTTCTGAGAGTCTGTACTGGGAGTGAAGGGTGACTTAACTATTTACCCCTCTTTTGGGGCTAAGACAAACTATGGACATTTCTCCTTCCCCTGCCCCAGACCAAGATATATGAATGCTATAGATGTGTAGTGAAATAAAAATTTTTTTTATCTCCTAGGAATCTGATTTGGACTGATTTCAGACATGGTACTTCAGGATTGGTAATGGAGGGATGGATTATCCCAGGGGAGAAGCAGGACTTCTGTGAGAAATGGGGGAAGTAAAACCTAAGTCCACACGTGAGACAATGAAAGTGTGGGTCCCAGTTCTGGAATAGAGCCAGGCCAGGGTAATGCTCTTGGGAAGGGGTACTTCTTAAAGGACTCTCGGCAGTCCACTTGGAGTATAAGTATCCTTAGTGAGGTCAGCACCTTGTCTCCTTACAGTCCATTAACTGCTATCCTGAGATATGAAGAAACCAAAAGCCAGACTGCGCAGTAGCTGTCTTAATCTTTTTTTTTTTTAAGATTTTTATTTATTTACTTGACAGAAAGAGAGATAGAGAGGGAACACAAGCAGGGTGAGAGGGAGAGGGAGAAGCAGGCTTTCCGCCAAGCAGGGAGCCCGATGTGGGGTTCGATCCCAGGACCCCGGGATCATGACCTGAGCTGAAGGCAGCCGCTTAATGACTGAGCCACCCAGGCTCCCCTGTCTGTCTTAATCTGTTTGGGCTGCTGTAACAGAATACCATAGACTGAGTGGCTTATAAACAACAAAAATTTATTTCCTAACAATTCTGGAGGCTGGGAAGTCCAAGATCAAGGTGCTGACAGAGTTGGTCTCCAGTGAGGACCCACTTCCTGGCTTGTGGACAGCCCTCACATGGTGGAAGGGACATGGGAGCCCTCTGAGTCTTCTTTTTTTTTTTTTTTAAAGATTTTTTTTTTTTTTAATTTATTTGAGAGAGAGAATGAGAGATAGCACGAGAGGGAAGAGGGTCAGAGGGAGAAGCAGACTCCCTGCTGAGCAGGGAGCCCGATGCGGGACTCGATCCCGGGACTCCAGGATCATGACCTGAGCCGAAGGCAGTCGCTTAACCAACTGAGCCACCCAGGCGCCCCTGAGTCTTCTTTATAAAGACACTAACCCCCATTCCACCCATGAAGGTGGAACCTTCATGACCTAATCGCTTTCCAGAAGCCTTGCCTCCAAGGCTACTCTAATACTCAACACTGGGTTTTAGAGTTCAACATATGAACTTGGCAGCGGGGCAGGGTGGGGAGTGGACACAAACATTCAGTCTATAGTGCTATCCTACAACTCCCCCTCCATTGTGGACTTTAGTGGTGGTAGGTAAGGGCTGGGAAGGAGTGGATCAAACCATGAACTCCGGTTCATTGGTTCATCTCTTTTGTAGAGTTTTTCGGTTCTTTGTCTAAATTCTAACACTTAAGCTTTCTTATAGTGTCGTTTTCTGTGTGGGATTCCCTGTGTTTACAGGTCATCAGAGTGAGTGCAGTGTGCCCTGTCAGCAAGTAGAGAGAATCCACTTCCCATAAACAGAGCCACTGGACACAGAATTACACAGTAGGGTTTTATAAGCAACCACTGCCTCTGCAAACAGCATAGTCCCCAAACTCATGACAAATCATCTGCAGAGTGTGTTAAAACAAACTGCTAGGCCCTTCACCAGTGTTTCTGATTCAGGGGATCTAGGGTGAAACCCAAGAATTTGCATCTCTAACAGGTGGTGCTGATGCTGGAATCCAAGCCCAAACACACTTTGAGAACCACTGGCTTAGTGGAACCTTATCAAGTAAATTCTGTGACCTCACAGTGGGATACCTACAGAGTTCAATAGAGCATGGGTCCTAGAGTGTTTACAAAATCACTGTAGTATCTTTATTTAGCACTATATTCTCAGAGACAACCAAGTAGCTAACTACTATCACTTCTTTTTTTCCAGAGCTTTATATTAAACATAGGCCTTAGCCTTTAAAATTAGTATTTTGGAGGGGCACCTCAGTGGTTCAGTTGGTTAACTGCCTGCCTTCGGCTCAGGTCATGATCCCAGGGTCCTGGGATTGAGCCCTGCAGCTCTGTTGGGCTCCTTGCTCAGCAGGGAGTCTACTCCTCCCTCTCCCTCTGCCCCTCTTCCTGGCTTGTATTCTCTCTCTCTAAATAAATAAATAAGATCTTTAAAAAAGAAAAAAAAGAGCACTTCCCATATGTTATTACACACACATCCCACCACCAATGAAGCACTCACCCCACTGCTCCTGATGTGAAAGAGCTAGAAAGACCTAGAAGCCTGGGCAGGGTGTCTGGGGTGTGGCTTGCCACTTTTTCCACACTCCTGTCTCAAAGGGGGGGGACTTTCTCCCCCACCTTGGGATCCAGACAGCCTTTGGAGGGGTGCTCGCAAGGATCTTCCAGGAAGCGTGGGGACCTTGCTGCCCACATGCCCCGCCCTTCCCTCCTCCAGCATCCTGGGGTCTGGGGTGGGAGTGGCCAGGCCAGCTTTAGGACCCGCAGTGTCTAGCAAGCAGCTGGACTCTGCTATAAAGGGCAGGCAGGCCAAGATGACAAGGTCTGAGTCCACAACCCGAGCTGTGGCAGGCTGAACAAGACGGGGACTACTCAGGCTGGCTGCTGCTGTGGCTTAGAGCAATGGGCGAGTACCTCAGTCAAGGAACCATCTGGCTAGAGGCATCTTCCTAGGCTTGGAAATAGCAGCTGAGACAGACTGGGTCCTAGTGGCTCCCCCAGAGGCCTGGAACCCTCAAGGCCAATACTTCCGGGCCAGTGTTCCTGGTGAGTGGGCCCAGAAGCACAGTGCGGGCCTGAATTCAAGGTTCCCCATCACGCAGCTGGGGAAGGAGGGACAGGCCCTGGGGGTCTCAGCGCTGCTGGGGGTCACACCAGCTAGCTAGGTTGAGGAAAGGATGGGGGGGGTGCCTGCAGGACCACACTCAGTGCAGCGCCCAGGTCATTCACTGGGAGGGACTCCCCAGGAGAGAAACTTGCCGAGGTATCAGCGGGCACCCCGAGGGGCTTCAGCAACTGCAGTTGGTCAGGGCTGGCCTCCAGGTGCTGGTGTGCCCTAGCTGGGTGGGGTTAGGACCACGACCACAACGGGCAGGGGCCAGCTGTTGAGAGGTTATCTCTTTATCTCCTGCCACCTCTCCCAACCCCGCTGTCTTGTTGTCACCTTTCAGGAGACATTCTCCGCTCCAGCTTGGGGTCCCAGGCACCTTTTCTGCCATCCTCACCCCTGTCGCTGCCAGCTCCTAGCTCCCAAGATGTGAACGTCACCGCCCCATCTAGTGGCTTAGAGCCAGCTTCTCCCCTAATTCCCCCAGGTCAGCTCCAGGCTCTTCCCCCCTTCTCTGCACACCTTACCAGGCCAGGGCAGATGCTCTCTGACCCCTTCCTCCCTCCCTGCTCCCAGGCCCTGAAGGGCCTTTGCTGTTCTCCTTCTGTGGGGCCAGCAGCCGGCAAGGACCCACATAAACACAGTGCAACAAGGCACACACCAGCAGCAGCGTGGTGGTGACAGTGGGGGCCACCGAGCCTCTGAAAGGCATGCAGCTGTGGCAGGCTCCAGCCACCAGCGAGTACCTGTAAGTGTGGGGCAGGGAGAGGTGGGTGGTGACCCTAGTGTCTGAGGTTCTAAAGTCAGGGGACCCAAGGCCTCAGGCACACTACGTTGACGTAGGGTATTTCACAACCCCGTGTGGCCCTAGCGACTCTGTCCCTTCTTCCAGCGGAACCAGGGAAGGTGGCAACGGTGGCCACTGAATTATCCAGTACCTAGGGGCCTGTTCCCTGCAAATGGAGAGCCCTTAACCAGCGGCGGCGCCAAGCGGTGGCTTGAAACTCCCCCCCCATCCCATTAAGCCTCCTAAAATAAGTGTAAAATCGAATTTTCTGGTGTGCGGACCTAGTCTCCCCGTCTTTTCTAAATTGACTACAGCCTCTTACGTCCCTCAGATAACAAATTCTGGAGCGGCTTTCGTCACTAACCTCTGCCGCAGGCGGGCAGCCCGAGGACCGAAGAGCGAGGGCCAGCGACTCGGCGTCCTCTTCCTGCAGGATCTCAGCTTTACGGAGCTGCGGGGGGCAAAGGCGCCAAGAACCGCCTGTGGCGGGCGCACGGCGTCTTCGTCTCCGCGGTCTTCTCCCTTGGTCGCGGGCAGCCGCTTCATATCCTAGTAGGGCAGCAGGGAGAGGACGCCTGTCCGGGAGTAAGCGGAGCCAGCGGGAAGGGGCGGCTCGAGCTCCTCAGGGCTAGGGCCGGGCGGAGCGAGGGGGCGCTCCTCCGGGACGAGACGGCGGCGCTGCGAGGGGAGCGTCCCGGGCCCTGCCGAATCTGGCGCCCGCTGCCCGCAGGGGAGCCCGGAGAGCCAACTCGTCTGCCTCGGAGAGTCTTGGACCGCTGCGGAGGACGCGGCGACGGAGGGGGCCGCAGGGGTCTCGGGGTCGCGGCGCTGGGCGGGAGCCGGCGGGGGTGGCGGGGACGCCACCTATGTCTTTCCGGTACGTGCTTGCCTCCGCGCGGTCAGCTCCCGCCCCCCGCAATCCGCGTTGGGGTCCCAGACTTCTTGCTGCGGGCGCGCACACACAAGCTCTTCGGGCCTTGGGGTCCCCAGTCCCTGGGCTCGGCCAGGAGCCCGGACCCTTACTCCAGTACCTGGTGCCCGGTCCTCACTCGACGGCTGGAGCGCGCCGTCGAGCTGGAGCCGCGGCGGGTGGCGGCCGGAGGAGGCGGGCGGGCCTAAGGCGGCGGGACCGAGGCCGGCTTCAGGCCGCCCCTGAGGAACGAGAACCGCTCAGCGGCGCCCGGGAGCAGGGGAGAGGCAGCGCCGGGCGGCGGGGAGAGGCGGGCGTGCTCCCAATCCCCGCTGCCAGTCATCCGGCTGTCGCCCCGCAGGTGGAGGGGCGGCTGGGCGTCGCGGGCCCCCTCTCCGCGGGCGGGCCGCTCCCTGCGGGAGGGGGCGGAGGGCGGCCGGGGCTGCGCAGAGGCCTGGGCTACGCGCGGCTGGGCCGCAGCGGGCGGCTTCGGGGGCGGCGGCGGGGCCTGTACTGCCGGGGGAGGCGGAGCGGCCACCGGCGAAGGTGCACTCTCGAGGAGGGCAGCACGGCAGCTCCCAGGGTGAAGTGGCGTTGGAACCTTACAACAGGCCCTCTGAAGGATAGGTGGGGAAGGGGTTGAGCACCCCCTCCGGGCCCCAGAGCAAGTAGAGTAAGAGCTCTTTAAAAGAGATTAAGTAGGGACACCTGGGTGGCTCAGTCGGTTAAGTGTCTGACTGGGTTTCAGCTCAGGTCCTGATCTCAGGATCAGGAGACGGAGCACCGCCTAGGGTTCCACGCTCAGTGTGGAGTCGGCTTGAGATTCTTTCTCTCCTGCCCTTCCCCCACGCGTGCACGAGCTCCGTCTCTTGCTGTGTCTCATAAATCTTTTTAAAAAGAAAATAGATCTGGGGCGCCTGGGTGGCTCAGTCGTTAAGCGTCTGCCTTCGGCTCAGGTCATGATCCCAGGATCCTGGGATCGAGCCCCGCACCGGGTTCCCTGCTCAGCGGGAAGCCTGCTTCTCCCTCTCCCATTCCCCCTTCCCCCTGCTTGTGTTCCCTCTCTCGCTGTGTCTCTCTCTGTCAAATAAAAAACAAATAAAATCTTAATAAATAAATAAATAAATGAAATAAAAAGAAAATAGATCTGGGGCGCCTGGGTGGCTCAGTCGTTAAGCATCTGCCTTCAGCTCAGGTCATGATCCCAGGGTCCTGGGATCAAGCCCCGCATCGGGCTCCCTGCTCAGCGGGAAGCCTGCTTCTCCCTCTCCCACTGCCCCTGCTTGTGTTCCCTCTCTCGCTGTGTCTCTGTCAAATAAATAAATAAAATCTTAAAAAAAAAAAAAAGATCAAGTAAGTTGCAAATCACACAAGCAAACAGGATTCCCTAGATTTTCATTTAAATCCAGGACCTTTTTTTTTTTTAAGTCACAACAGGTCTCTTTGTTTTACAGCAGTCCCAGGAACTTAGAGCTTGCTGAGTTAGCAAACTGAGCAGAGAGGCAGAAAGGCCGGGATAATTTATTATCATTATTATATATAGATAGATAGATATATTCTCATATGTATATTCTCATACATATATCTATATATATATATCAGGTATGTATATACCTGATATATATATATATATCTATATAGGCATATATAGATATATATAGATATATATTCTCAGAGAGAGAGAAGGGGGGTGCGGAGGGGCAAACAGAGAGAATCTTAAGCAGGCTCCATGTCCAGGGCAGAGTGTTTGGTGAGGCTCACCTCCAGGCTCCACCTGGGTCTCCATCCCAGGACCCTGAGATCATGACCTGAGCCAAAATCAAGAGTCTGACACCCAACTGACTGAGCCAGTCAGGGGCCCCAGGCAGGGATAATTTAAATTAGTAGTTCTCCAAGTGTGGTTTCTGAGCCAGTAGTATTAGCACCACCTAAGAAGTTGTTAAAAATGCAAATTCCCAGCCCCTCTCTGACCTACTGAATCAGGAACTCTAGGGAAGTCTCCTAGCCATCTGTGTTTTAATCAATCCTCTGGGTGATTTTAATACATTCCAGAGTTTGGAAATCACTGGTGTAAAGAGACAGAGCCTTTGGGTCTCTCTCAGCCATCCTGTTCATAAGTACTTTATACCCATCTCCATTCTCACAAAAATGGAACATGTGGATTGGGCCTCTCCCGTTTTATAGCTGAGGACATGAAGTCAGAGGATTTCAGGCAGACAAGGAGGTTGTCCCAGACAGCCTGAGCCAGGCCTTTAGGCTCCAGCTGATGACTCCCACCCGACCCGTCTGGCTCCCGGCTCCCACTTATGAGCTGGCAGCACCTGTATTGTAATGCTAGTGTAGAGAGGGCGACTCTAGGATTTGCACTGGGAGAGAACAGCTTCCCCACTATTAAGCCAGCTTCCCATTTGTGTGTCCCTTCCTCCCCCCATTTTGTAGCCAAACCCTCTATCACTTTCAATTTCCAGGGGGTGATGCCTTAGAGAATGACATCCTGTGAGTTGATGGGGAAGATGGGGTATCTTTCATACACCCTAGCGGTGAACCCTACCTGCAACCTCTGGCAGGTGTTGGCCCCTACCCCCACCTCATCTCTCAGCCTGGCCTAGCCTTATTCCTCAATCCCTGAGCCCACTCGCATTTGAGCCACCAAACTCTATGCTGTGAACTATCTGGTTCTTGCATAGCACAGGAATACTCGAGAACTGGGCTGTCAGTTGTGATGCCAGTATGAGGCATTCTGGGGCACTTGTCAAATATCTCCTACTATGAATTCTCAAGCTCAATCTGCGAGCTCAAGGATCCCAGAAGAGGAAGTATACAGGCTTGACAGAAGTCCTCCAAGCCCTCCCCCCACCCCCAAATGCCTGGTACTGCTCATTGTTCCAAAGTCCAGGGCTAGAATTAACCACGTAGCTGGAAAAGTATGTCTGTCCCCCACCCTCACCCTGCAATATCCATTCTTTTACTCATAGTCATGGAGAGCCATGGAGAAGTGGAGATCCGACTGCACCTCAACTGTAGTCATTGCCTTTTGAAAGACTGCCAATGTCAGGCAGAGCTCTGGTTAGCCAAATGCCCCAGAGGGCATGGAGCTAGCTGCAGATAACATCACTCGCATGGGTAAGTCCTGCCTTTGTCCAAGGTCTGGACTTCTGGGGCCATGGGCTGGGAGGAGCAGGAGGGTAGTGGAAAAGATGACTGGTGGTGTTCCAGGCACCATTCCAGGTGTTGGGCAGGAGATTGGATATGCTTCAGTGTATGCTCTGCCTTCAAGGAGCATGTAGACTAGTGGTCTAGTATGGAAAGGGTGATCTATCTATCTACTTATTTATCTATCTAGATATGTATCTAGATTTATTTTTTTTAAAGATTTTATTTATTTGAGAGAGAGGGAGAGAATGCGTGAGAGGGAGCATGAGCAGGGGGAAGGGGCAAAGGGAGAGGGAGAAGCAGACTCCCCACTGAGCAGGGGGCCCGATGTGAGACTCTCTCCCAGGACCCTGGGATCATGACCTGAGCCGAAGGCAGATGCTTAACGATTGAGCCACCCAGGCACCCAGATATGTATCTAGATTTAGATATAGATATCTTTTAAAGTGACAATTGCCATGCGAGGCTTAAAGTGTTTTAGGGGTTCTCAGGAGGGAAAGGTTGCTTTTATCTAGGACAAGTATCAGGGAGAAGTTAACACTTAGGCTGAGTCTTGAGACACGGGTAAAATTTGAGAAGGGGGACAGAGAGGAGCTTCCCATTGGAGGTGTGTCTCTATGTCTCCCTAGACCTGCCCACCCCACCAGGCCCCTCTGGTTCTGTTGGTGACTGTCGTGTGACCTCTACACTGAGCCTCCTTATGGTGTGTGGGGTCCTGATTCTGGGTAAGGAACATCCAGCAGGCATGGCTGATTCAAGGCTGCCCACCTCTTCACTGAGCTGTGTGTGGGGTTCCAGGGATAGACGTGGCTGATTTCAAGACCCCTGCTTCCAGCAGAGCAGTGGTGGGCTCCTCTGGGATTCCAAGAGTAGAAGCAGCTGTGGAGGCCCAGGGAAGACGTTTGCCTTAATGGGCACCTGGAGAGATGTCCTGGGCGGAGGGATGGCAAAGCAGGGTGGGCCAGATGGGCACATAGAGAGTTTGCCCTTCTTCCTCAGTGAACCATAAAAAGTGGCAGGGCCTGTGGGGGACAAGGCTGCCAGGCCCCGAGCTTGAGCTGAGCAATCTTCAATCTCCACCATCAAGACAGCCCTCAACCCTTACTACTGCCTGGTGGGGTTTGGCTGGGCCTGGTCCTGCTCTCTGCCCCCAGGGCTTACAGAAGTTTTCCCAGCCAATGTCACCCTGCTCAAGTAAGTTCTCCCCCTCCGCTGAGAACCTGCGCACTCTGGATTCCGCTCACTCCCATCCCGTGTCCTGCTGTGGCGAGTTATGGTTCACAGAGACCATCTGGCCACAAGCCTCCGTGTGGAGGAGAGAGAGGTCAGAGAAGTTCCAAAAGGCAGAGTAACTTGTCGAAGGTCAGCTGTCATCCCCAATTCTAGGATGGTGGGGACGCTATGATTCCTTTGGAGCAGGGGTTGCCTCTACCCAGGGTGTCTGCAAGGACATAAGGAAAACCTCGTCACAGACACCCACCCCCACCCTGAGCCCATACCTTCTCTCTCTTCTGCCCTGATTCTGTGCCAGTCAACAACGCCTCTGTAGGGCTTGTACTTGGGGAGATACCATGGTGCAGGAAGACCTGAGTCCTCAGATAGGGCCGCTTGGGCACATAGGGGATGGCAAGGAGGTAAAAAGGAGGCACTAGACCCTCTAGGACCCTTCCCCAGGGCCAGCCACCCACTCCCTTCCAACCCGTCTTCCTGCAGAGCCCTGGGCCATGGTGCCTTTGGAGAAGTCTATGAGGAACTGGTAAATGGCCTTCTTGGGGACCCCAGCCCCCTGCAGGTGGCTGTCAAGGTGAGAGGGGTGGAACTTCTGGAACAGGTGCTGGACCTAGAGTCAACCCACTCTCCTGAAGTGTCTGGGGGAGCTCAGGAGCACTCTCCCTCCCCAGACCCTGCCAGAACTGCTCTCCTCAGGATGAGCTGGATTTCCTCATGGAGGCACTCATCATCAGGTGCACCTGGGGCTAGGGGCAGGGGTGGAAGGTGAGAGCAGAATTGCCTGCCAGGATGGTTTCACTTCACCCTGGGGCTGAGAGGTAGCAGGTCTAGGAATACAGAGCCTGTCTCCGGTTTTGTGGAACCTCGAGCCTGGTTTCCCTCCCTGCTGGCAACTGGGGTATGTGCACCTCCCACTCAGCAAGTTCAGCCATCAGAAATTGTGTGGGGCTCAGCCTCTGGACTGCCCCTCACCTAATTCTGCTCGACTTGATGTCTGGAGAGGACATGAAGAGTTTCCTGAGGAACAGCTGGCCACACTTGGTAAGACCCTTCTCCCAGCCCTCTGAGCCCATCTAAAGACCCTGTCCAGGGCGCCTGGGTGGCTCAGTTGGTTAAACGTCTGCCCTGGGCTTGGGTCATGATCCCAGGATCCTGGGATGGAGCCCTGCATTGGGCTCCTTGCTCAGCAGTGAGTCCGCTTCTCCCTCTGCGCCCCCCCGCCCTCCCCCGCCTGTGCTCTCTTGCTCTCTCGAATAAATAAAATCTCTTAAAAAATAAAAGTAAAAAAATAAAGACCCTATCCACGTATCCCAAAACAAGCATGGACTAATGTACCCTCTGCCCTACCCAGGGCCAGCCATCACTTCTGGTGATGCGGGACCTGCTCCAGCTGGCCCAAGACATAGCCCAGGGCTGCTACTACCTGGAGTAAAATCACTTCATCCACAGGCTGGGAGCGATCCTGGCTCGCAGGGGGTGGGGGAGCAGCCCAACTCTCTCCCCAAGGAAGAGCTCTTCCACATAACTTTTATGGAAACGGATCAGAGCCAGAGCTTCTGAGTTTTGGTGGGGATTTTTTTGCCTGCAGGGACATTGCTGCCAGGAACTGCCTGCTGAGCTGTACTGGGCCCTGCTGAGCTGTACTGGGCCCAGCCGAGTGGCCAAGATTGGAGACTTTGGGATGGCAAAAGATATCTACAGGTGTGGGACCTGGGGAGGTGGGGAGGCTGCCGCTCCAGGGGAGTTTACCAGCACTCTGGTGGCACTTGAGCAACTAACTCATCACTCCCCTCCTCCCTCCTATAGAGGCAGCTGTTACCACCAGGGGGGCCGGGCTCTGCTGCTGGTCAAGTGGATGCCCCCAGAGGCCTTCTTGGAGGGCATCTTCACATTCAAGACAGATTCCTGGTGATAACACACCCCACCCCCTCCCTGGCCTTGGGCCACCTCATGTGAGGCAAAGGGGAGACTGTGCCTGATAAGCTTCATTCAGTTCCCCCACTCATGATGCAGGTCTTTTGGGGTGCTGCTCTGGGAGCTCTTCTCATTAGGATACATGCCCTACCCTGGGGGCACCAACCAGGACGTGCTGTACTTCGTCGCGGAGGGAGACGGATGGGCCCTCCCAGGGGCTGTCCAGGGCCTGTGTGAGTATGGAGTGTTGTCCAGGGAAGAAGGTCCTTCACAGCCTTGGGTGGGACAAACTCCTGCCTCTCCCCAGGTACCATATCATGACCCAATGTTGGCAGCATCCGTCTGAACTCCGCCCCAGTTTTGCTGCCATCTTGGAGCATCTTCGATACTGAATTCAGGTGTGCCCCCTCTTCTGCCTTGACCATTTTGATCTTGAGGGTCAGGAGGGCAGCCGTGGAACAATGCTGTGGTCCCCTGCTCTCCTGCCCCCCCATTACAGGACCCTGATGTGCTGAATTCACCCCTGCCAATGGAGCTGGGGCCCACCCTAGAGCAGGAAGGGACTTCTGGGCTGGGGAGCAGGTCTTTGGAGGGCCTAAGGTCCCCACAGGCCCAGGAACTGAGTCTGGAGAGCTTAAAGAGCTGGGGAGGGAGGGTGCCTGGGTGGCTCAGTTGGTTAGGCGACTGCCTTCGGCTCAGGTCGTGATCCTGGAGTCCCGGGATCGAGTCCCACATCGGGCTCCCTGCTGAGCAGGGAGTCTGCTTCTCCCTCTGACCCTCTTCTCTCTCGTGCTCTCTATCTCTCATTCTCTCTCTCTCAAATAAATAAATAAAATCTTTAAAAAAAAAAAAAAAGCTGGGGAGGGAGCATCCTTGGCCCCTGGCCGCACTCTAGCCTCAAGACCCCCAAATCCAAGTACTTCCAACCTCAGGGGGGATTCCAAAGGCATCCAAAGGAATCCCCCCTATGGCTCTTGGGCCCCAAGGGGCCCCGAAGGTGAGGACTCAGGCACTGACAGTAGCAGTGGTTCCTACCTGCACTCCTCCCCAGGCTTCTAGGGAGCTTGTTATTCCAGGAGCCTCTGTCCCCTGCAGTCTGTGCTGCGTGTCTGGGCCTGTCTCAGGGCTGGTCTGGCACCACTGGACCCTCCATCCTGGAAACCAGCTCAGGCTTCCTGGTGAGGAGCTTGGCCTCTCCAGCCTTTTGTCTTTGGGACCAGAGGTTGAAACTGTCTCCTACGGGAAGCCTTCTCTGGATTACCCTTCCCCCATGAGCGTCCTTCATCTGGGCAGTCCCCAGTCCTACAGATGCCTCTAATAAAGAGCTCTTCTCATACCCTGCAGTGATCTGAGTGGACATGAGGGATGCCAGGGAAGTGAGAAAGGGATCAGAGGAGGGAGGGGATGAGGCCTGAGTCACCAAAGCTGGTGTTTTTGAGTTTTATTGGGAAAGGCTGTCCATTGTAGTGTAGGAGGTTAGACCAACAGATCTAGTGCTGCGAAATAAAATTAATTATTTGGCCTTGAGAGAGAGATATGCAGCCCCCTCAGAAGAGCTGGGCTGAGGAAGGAGCCCATTGTCCCAGCCACCCCTCCCCCACCCCCTCTGTTAATTAGTGCCATCGGTTCTGGGAACTCTGGATCTTGTATGGGGGACAGCCCCCAGCGTGTGCAGTGCGTCCCATAGTGGTTGGCACCAGGCCCTGCAGAACCGTGTGAACCGCCCCGCAGCACGGGGTTTCAGTCTCTCTCCGGCATGCATGGCGGGGACGCAGCCGCAGGTCCATCTGTTAGAACTGGGGCCCAGCCTCATCTCTCTGCCAGGCTGGCCAGGATGCTAATGAGATTGTCCAGCCCCAGCAAATAGCCGTCCTCGCGGTTGCCCTCCTCCCAGGGCCGCCGGTGGTCCAGGGTCTGGCCGTCGGAGAGGGGCGTGGTCTTGCCGAAGTCGATGAGCCACACACCCGCGCGATGGCAGTGATCGTGCACGAAGAGTAGAGAGCTGCCAATCACCTGCCGAGCCCCACACGGTCAGGCCGCAGCCCTTTCCTGGAGAAGCCCCCCATCGTATTCCTGGGTAGCCCTCACAGACCACAGCTCCGGCACGTGAGCCCACCCCCTCTTACCTCGTGCCTCCTAAAGAACTCAGAGACCTCCAGCGTGTCCCGGATCTGCTGCAGGCGGTTCAGATACCTCCTCTGGAGAGGGCAGGATAGGATAGGAGAGCAGATCAACCAAATACTAATTGAGCCTCTGCTACTATCAGGGGCCATGATGCATGCTTGGCTTCGCAGATACCGTGATGAGGAAGACACAGGCCCCCGGGTGCCTACATACTACGATGGGGGTCACAGGCGAGGGCACCAGATCGGATGACCTAGGGGCACCCCTCGGTTTCAGGTTCCCCAACCCCCTCAGGGTTCTAGGATCAGGCGCTCACCAGCACTTCCGAATCCCCTTGCACAAACTCCTCGAAGACGCGAATCACCTGCTCCCGGCTTCGCGTGGTCTTAAAGTCAGTGCTGCAGGAGCCGTCAGCTTTCTGAAGGAAGTGGGACAGGAAGTGTCAGGGTCCCCTTGTCTCTCCTCTGCTCGAGGGGAGAGGATCAGGCTAGAGTAGCGGTGCCTCCCAGGACGTTGGCTGCCAGGGACGGCGGGAAGGCCGCCGGAGGGTGCCTCGTGGTGGGGGTCAACAAGGAGGGCAGACACCGCGCAGTGGGGTTAGGGCAGAGGGAGGGCCAGGGCGCTGCAAAGCTTAGCGGGCCTGGCCCACCTTGATGCCTTCGATGCGGAAGCCGAGCGTGGTGCTGGAGCTGATGCCTTCTCGCCACTGCATGTAGCGCGGCTTGGTGACCGCGCGCTGCGCGTGCTCCTCCTCGGTAGGCGCCGCAGGGTCTACCGCCAGCATCTTCTTGTACATGTCCTTCCGCAGCTTGGGCCGCTCGCGGGCTTTGGTCAGCTCCTCCTCCAGGTAAGTCCTGCGGACGCGCAGGCAGCGGTCGGGGCATAAGAGAGCGCACGCCGGGACCCGGTCCGGCGCGGCTTTGGGCACCCGGGAGAGCGCTCATCCCCGCCCTGTGCCCCCGCCCGGACGGGCAGGGCACGTGTACCTGACGCCCATCTTGCAGTCAAGGACGCAGGGCCCATCGAAGCCGTCGAGCAGGTCCTGCAACTGCAAGTAGCTCTCGCCATCGCGCTCCACCACGCCGTGGAAGGCGGGCACGCAGCCGCGCAGCGCGTCCGCCATGAGCCGCGCCAGGCAGTAGCGCTCCGGCTCTGAGCTGCGCTTCAGGATCAGCCCGCTGGCGCCAGCCGCCTTGAAACTCCCTGCGGACTGGCACCAGTTAGCGCGGCCTGGTCCCTTCCTTCCCCGGGCACCCGCCCACCCCAGCGGCGCCTGCCCTGTGCTCACCCGTGTGCCCAGCCAGCTGCACCCAGGCGTAGCGCTTCTTGAAAGGGCTCATGACGGGCAGATTCACCATGGTCCGGATCTTCTGCCAGTGGCTTTTCTGAAAGCGACAGGTCCCGGGCGCGCACGTTGGCGTCTCGGCAATGCATAAGCCCTCCCTCCTTTGGCATAGGGTCTCCTCCGGCTCCAGCCCACCGCAAGCAGCTAGGGCCCCGCGATTCATTCACTCACTAACTCACTCAAGCAAAGTTTATTGTGAGCCTGTGTGGAGGACACTGAGACAGGTACAGGGTGATGACAGATATCCAGCTTCTCCATCTTGCTGAAAAGAGCCCTGGACTTAGAGTCAGAAGGCTCAGGTTTGCACCCCAGTTCTGCTGCTCCAGCTGTGTGGGTAGGTTACTAAAGTGTTCCATCAAGGATTTAGAACTTTCCTGAGCATGAGAATCACATGATGGTCACCCATGTTAAAAAAATGCAGACACGGGGTTCCTGGGTGGCTCAGTCATTAGGCGTCTGCCTTTGGCTCAGGTCATGATCCCAGGGTCCTGGGATCGAGCCCCACATCGGGCTCCCTGCTCCGTGGGAAGCCTGCTGCTCCCTCTCCCACTCCCCCTGCTTGTGTTCTTTCTCTCGCTGTGTCTCTCTCTGTCAAATAAATAAATAAAATCTTTAAAAAAAAAATGCACTCAGGTCTGCCTCCGGGAAATTCTGAGTATGTCTGGGTGGAATCAAAAATTTGCATTTCTAGGGGCGCCTGGGTGGCTCAGTCATTAAGTGTCTGCCTTCGGCTCAGGTCATGATCCCAGGGTCCTGGGATGGAGCCCCACATCAGGCTCCCTGCTCCGCGGGAAGCCTGCTTCTCCCTCTCCCACTCCCCCTGCTTGTGTTCCCTCTCTCACTGTGTCTCTGTCAAATAAATAAAAATCTTTAATTTAAAAAAAATTTGCATTTCTAACAATGCCTCAGGAGATTCGGGGGCCTGAGAAGCCTCTGAGTGTCAGTTTCTTCATCTGTAAAATGGGGAAATCATCATTCTCACTGGGTTGTTATGAGTAGTAAATTAGGTTTGAGTGTGACAGGCTCCAGCTCTTGTGCCCCCCCCCCACCTGGGACCCCATTCCTTGGCATGAAGCAGAAGCTGGACAAATCTGGATTATTGTTTCATTCACTTTGGACCATTGGTTACTCTCATTTAGGGAGACAAACATGGAAACAAACCTTTGCAAAGGCCCAGGGCTGAGAGGCTAGCCAGGCAGGGCCTGGGGAAAGAATGACTTGGGGCTCCCCAAGACCCCCTTGCTATTCCTGGATGCCATATCACTTCTCACCAGTTGGCTAGGGCCAGGCTACCCTTGGTCTTCTTATTCTAGACCCAGAAACCTGAGCTTTGAAAATGGGATGCAGAGCTGAGAGCCTGTCATCTCAGATGAAACTGGGAGGGAAATGTAGATTTTGGTGTACCTCTTGCTTCACAAACATTCCTTCTGGCCTCCACCCAATCCTGAGAGCATCTCATACTCTGGACCTTTCCTTCTCCCACCCAAAACTCATCAGTCCTGTGCCCAACCTCTGAAGTACACAGGTTTGCTCATCCAAGCTGTGTATCTGCTGCCTCCTCCCAAGCGTGCTTGCCTAAGAGGAGTTACGTATGCGTTGCAGGACTTACAGGGCTAGAACTCAACTTAGAAATCCAGCCTCCCTGATCAGAGGAAGTTGTATGAGAGACAGGGAGAACTGGCACAGTGGCCTCAGCAGGGAAAGGCTGCTGACCAGAAAGCCCTTTCCCGTGGGGAGGAGATGGGGGTTAGTGACAGAGCACTGGAATCAGGTGGCTCTATCACTTTTTAGCTGAGTGAACCCAAGTGAGAATTTCATCTGTGTGAGCCTGTTTCCTCTGGGAGGATATAGCTGCTGCCATAACACGAGTCACCCTTTACTGACCGCCTACTGCCTGCCAGGCGCTTCTCATCTTCCATCAGAAAGCACTGCTCCTGTTTCCCTACTGAAGTCCCTACATGGCACACTAGGGTGTGATCACATGTCCAACCCCCAGGGATCTGGGGGTGTAGCCAGAAGCAGCCCACTAGAAGTATGACATCTCTTTCAAAACTCCTTTTTACTCTTTAAATATGTACAAGGTTTGCATTCTGCTGCATAATAAATCCAAGTTTTATTATAAAACTCTCCCACCTCCAAATCCTCAAGTAAAATTCCAGGAAGACGTATGTGCCATGTATATTCAGTGGCACCATCTTATACCCTCTTCTCCCACTCATGATTTTCAAATCCTGCACATGCACGTCAAGTGCATAAGGTGGTAGCATTATTGCCATTTTACAGAAGGAAGTCAAGGCTTAGAGGAGTTCATATCCCCTCACTCCCTGCCTCCAGCATCCCAGCCCCTGGCTAAAGTTCTCTACCAGCCCAACCTCCTCCCCATGTTCCAGTCACCCCAGCAGTTCCCCCAATCCATGCTACCACCCCAACTCCCTTTGGAGGTCAAATGGGACCCTGCATGAGAAAGAGCCTTGTAGAGGGTGCCTGGGTGGGTGAGTCGGATTAAGTGTCTGACTCCTGATTCCAGCTCAGGTCATGATCTCAGGTAAGATGGGGTCATCACCTACTCTCCTCTCTCCAATTCTGTGAGGATCATATCAGCCAAGAGCAACAGCAACTAGGGCTGGTTCTGGCCCCACAGGTTACAAAGGGCTTTCATCTGACCCCTCCCAGCCACCCCGTGGGGTTGGTAGGACAGGATTTTGCTCCCCTGCCAGAGACGGATACAAGTCAAACGTGGAAGGAGTTTATGCAATTATCAATGAACTCACCAGCATCCATCTTAGGGAGCTACCTCCTCCAGGGAACATAATGCAGATAAAAATGCATGTATCCAAAAAGGCTCTTGAAGAGTCATTCTTCAGTGGGTGGGTGGGGATTTTGGCATATGAACAACAGCAGGGAAGATATTTTTGAGCAGGTAAGGCTTTTATTGTATGGATATCAGAAAGCAGATTTATTATGTTACAGAGTGAAATCTAGCTGGAAAGAGGGCCAAAGCCCCAACCTCTGGCCCAGCCTACTCCTCCACAGAAGTCTGGGAAACCAACTCACAGCCAAAGGCTACCTGGGCATCTTGGGGCAAAAACCCAGGAGAGCTGACTATGTGAAAGTCTTTGAGGAAGTCACAGGGGCCCCTTCTGATCCTCACCCCTGGGGCTGCATAGGGGGGACATCTCTCTCTCTCTGGGAAGGGCACGGCTGGACACTAGCCTCAGATGCTCCTTTGTCCAAGCTCCCTTTGGAAGACCTGAGGACTCCTTAAATCACACCAGATACTCAGTGTATCTTCTGCCAGATTGGACCCTCGTCTTTGCTACTCATCCCTATACCCCCTGACTCCCACTCCTTACCTCTACCCACTCAGTCTCTGGCCGAAGCTCTCTGCCAGCCCAACCCCCTCCTCATGTTCCCATTGCCCTATCAAACCAGCACTCCCTGTGGTGGCGGTGGTGGTGAGAGCAATCAGTTTAAATTTATAAAATGATTTGCACTAAGGTATAAGTGACCCACGACTTCACCCTCCCAGGGGCATTTGCTTTTTAAAAAGGAAGTCTGTTAACCTAAATTCTGCTCTATAATTAGTGAAAAGTGAAGTGTGGGAGTTCTGGGTCCAGGACAGGATGGCATCGAGGTCTCCTTACCTATCCTGGAGCACTGAAAGAAGAGAACCAAGTGAACAGGAGCCAAACACCCTCTCTTCTGCTACAGCAACACCCCAAAATTGTTTTAAGAGGCAGCCTAGGCCTAAGAATACAGTCATGCCAACTGCTCTTGGGGATAGGCCCCCAGCTCCTCTCCTGATCTGTCTGGGTTTCTCTGCCCACGACCTTCTCCTCTACCAGAAGAGGGGCCCCAGGAGGGAGGCAGGTTGCCCAGTCCAACTACTCTGGGGGGAGCCCAGCTCCAGGCTCTGGGCAGGACTTGCGGTGCTCCTAGGAGAGGGAGCCTCTCCGTGTTGAGTGAACCCAAGACACACTCAAGACACCATGTGCCCTATGTGAGTATGTTCCAGGCAGAGGCAAGGTAGAGCCTTCCGGGCCGCCTCTTGCTCCGAGCTAGTCCGTTATGTACCCAGGCCCGCGGGTGAGGGGCTGGCCAGCCGGCAGCTCCCGAGGGCTGCTGCAGGACCCTTCGCCCAGGCGCATCCTTCGCGGCCCGCCGATGGCCTCCGCTTCCTGACTGGGGAAGCCCTAAAGGCAGCCTGGGCGGGCGCTCTGTGCCGCTCCCGGGCCGGCCGCGAGGCAAAGTCCGCGCCGGGCCCTTCCACGCGGACGCAGGCAACCTCTGTCAACAGCTACTGGCTTATCTGCCACCGCCGTGCCTGTTTGCCTTCGGGGAGGCCCCGGCGGGCTGGGGGTTGGGAAGGCCTGGGAGCCGCAGCCTTGGAGCTGGAAGGGCCCTCGGCGGCCATCTGCTCCAGATCCTGGCCGCGCCGGAAGACCGCGAAACTTGGGGAGGGAGAGACTGGCCGAAGACGCCCGGGGCACAGCTGCGACCGCTCTCCGGAGTCTTGACCCCAGCCCGGCTGCCTACGTTGCAGGACCTCCTCCGACTGGGGGCGGAATAGGGAAGCCGGGGGCTGCGCTGCTGGCGTACTTTCTTCTGCACCCGCTTCTCGGCTTGGCAGAGATCTGACCAGGGCGGCGGTGCACCCAGAACTACCGCTCCTTATTTCGGAGGAGGTGGGAAGGAAGGAATCCTCTCACTGCCCCACATTCCACCGCCCTGGAAATCCCTCGGTGGCACCCGCATCCCTGTAGGAGCCAGGGTTGTACTAGGAATGATCACGGATCACGGGTATCCTTATCTCCGGGGGAGGAGAGAGGGACTCCCCGCACCCTACACTTGAGGGCGGCGGCGGCGGCGGCGGCGGCGTGGGTGTGTGTGTGTGTGTGTGTGTGTTCGTTCCTGCTCTAGGAGCCCTTTTGTGTCCCTTACAAATCACGCTGCCCTCTGGTAATGTAAGTCCCAGCGGGAAACAGTCACAGATCACAGCAAGTCGTTACAGGGTCTCCTCCGCCTCGTCCAATCCGAACGAGCTTCGAAGCCCGGGTTCAGCAGGCGGAGGCCGCGCCTCCGGGCTCTCCGCACCGCGCCCAGGCCACCCCGGCCCGCGTCTGCAACTCTCACCGCCCTTCTGGGCGGGCCCGGAGCCACCAGAGCCTGCGGGGCGCCCTTCGTCTCTCCCTCCGCTCCAGGGACACTTGCATAACGTGGATCTAGAACAACTCCTTCGCGTTGACCGCGAGTAGTTATTTAAAATATTTGGCCTTGGTTAAAAAGAGGGGACAAGATGGCTATCCCAGGGGCTGCACACCCCTAAGGGGCAGGCACTGGGAATGACTTCGCTGCACCCTGACCCGGGTTGTCCGAGGGTCAAACCTGGCGCGGGAACAGCCAGGTTACCAGAGGCGGCGATTAGCAGGAGGATTCCCCCCCCTTCAGCCTCAGTTTACCTTCTCCCGGCTTTGATTAGGAGCAGTAAACCGGGGCATGGCTGCGTTCCACTCCCTGCCCGAGCCCCCAGCCCCGAGCCCCTCCCTTCTCTGCGTCCACGCCTCGTGCGGGCGCGGGGAGCAGACGGCGGCAGCTCCCGAGCAGAGCCTGGAGCGCTGCTCCACTCCCACTCAGGAGAGGGAAACCGTGGCAACGGCGGGGGTGGGGCCGCCGCGCGGGAGAGGGGGCGGGGAGAGAGGGAGACTCGTTCGCCCCTCTCTCTCTGCGAGAGTTCGCGGGGCAAGTCCAAGCCCCTCCGATCCCTCCCGCCCCACTTCCCGACCCGCAAGTCACGATCCCCACCCCCGCCCCAACCGGTGCCCACGGCCGGTCGCAGACTCCTCCTCCCTCTCCTTCTTAGACGCCCTAGGGCCCGGGCCGCGACCCGCCGGTGGAAGCCCGGAGAAAACTGCCAAGGCGGGAGGTCGGCCCGGCGCCTTCCTGCGACCCCAGTGCCCCAGCTAGGCGGTGAGGGCCAGACCCTCGGCGGAGGGAGCCGAGCGCCGAAGTCAGCCCTGCGCCAGCTCAGAGCTGGGTCCGCCGCGCGCAGCCCCCGCGCCCCGCTCTGGCCCCGCCCCCGCGGCCCATACCTGACCCACGTCCTCGCTGGCTTCCAGCTGCACGTTGCCGCGGCTCCGGCTCTCGCTGTCGCTCAGCAGATCGTCCTCCGAGTCCTCGGGCAGCGACGAGGAGCCAGTGGAGGAGAGCGACGAGGTGGAGAGGCGGCGCGGCTGCTGCAGGTGTGAGGAGCCCACGGCCGGGAGCCAACCACCCTCCGGCTCCGGCGGCCCCGGGCTGGCCGGGGGTACGTCCGGCTCCTCGGCTGTCACAGTCAGCTGTGGGATCACCGGGGCAGGGGGAGCCCGCGGAAGCCCGTTGGGGACCTGTCCCCCACGCCTCTTGGCCCCGCGGGCCCGGGGCTCCCCTGCGGCGGCGGCGGCAGCGACTGCCGCGCAGCGCGCCTCGAAGAGCAGGCGCAGCTCCCCGACACTCCGGCGCGGGGCCCGCTCCAATCCCGGGCTGCAGGGCCCCGCGCCTCCCGGCCGCGCCATGCTCGTCGGGCCCCCGGGCAGGGTCATCTCCCCGCACGCAAGCCGCAGCAGAGCCCACCAGCCCGCGCCGCCGCGAGGACTGGAGACGCTCGGCGCCCGCGGCGCGAGACTGCCCCGAGGCGGAGCCTGCGCGGCCTGCCCGCCTGGGCCCCGCCTCGGCCGCGCCCCCCGCCCACTCCTTTCACTTTCAGAGAAAGCGCGGGCCTCCAAGGGCCCTTGCCCCGCCGGGAAGCTCCTTGTTGCTCCTCCAGGTGGCCGGGAAGCCCAGACCTCGTGGACACAAAGCCAGGGCCTGGCCCTCACGGCCCCTCTGTGCCCGCCCTCGGGGAGACGGGAGGGGTCGCCCCGCCCCTGGGCCCTACAGTCTTGGAGATGGTCCTGCTCTTGCTCTCTCCCGCCCTGTCCCTCTGGCTCCTTCCCGCGTTCCATCCATCTTGGGCCAAGGCTTCCAGGTTTCCGGGCTTTCCTACGCGTCCGGGACCCCTTCAGCACAGAATGCAAGGCCATCAGCTTCCCGAAGAAGCCTCACCCCAGGGCGTGCGCCCAAGTGAGGACTCTGTCCGGGGAATGACCTGAGGCTTCCTCCCACAAGCTCTCCACTTCCCAGGGGGCAGAGAACAAGGTCAGGGGGCGGGGCCTGAATCTCTCTGTGTGTCCTTGCAGGAGTCCTGGGCAGCATCCCTTGGCCACTGGCTGGCGGCCGGGGGGGGGGGGGGGCGGGAGTGGGGCTGAGCCCTTCTTCCTCCTTTCCGTATGGAGTTCGGAGCTTGGAGTCTGCAGTATGACCATAAGCAAGTCATTTCACGTCTTTGAACTGCTGATTCTCCTCCGCAGAGCTGTTGTCCACCTCACAGGATTGCTATGAAAATACGATCAAATGAAAGATGTAAAATCTATAAAACGTTAGAATAGTTTTAGTGTGGGTTGTAGAAAGAGCCAGCCTCAGGTTCGTCACACTCTAGACGTCATCTTAGGCAGTCTCTTCCCTTTGTAAATTTAGGACCCCCCCGCCCCGTTCCCACCTGGAGCTGTGGCTGTGATGGGAAGAGAACCTTGATGCTGGTAAAGCATTTCCCACACTGTGGTGTGCTCATCAGTGGCCTCGTGGTGCTCGGTCTGCAACCACTTGACAAGGTAGTGGTCAGCTAACTGCAAGGCTGCTTTGAGTAGAAGTTCGTATTTCACAACATCTCTTGTCTTCCCCAAATGCCACAGGTGAGGATCCCTCCTCAGGTGGCCGGTGCCTCAGGATTGTTGGGGGCCCTGTGGCAGGATGCCCCAGAAGGATTGCCTCTGATACTGATGGAGGCCAAAAGGAGAAACTTTCCTTCCCTTATCTCCCCTAGGCCAGATTCAAGGATGGCCCAGGAGAGAAAGGGAGTGTTCAGAGAGAATTCGAAGCTTCAGCAGAGCAGAAAGGAGAAAGATCCTAGGGGAATTGATGAAGAAAGTCCGAGTGTGAGAGGATGAATGGAAGGGGAGGAGGGAATGCAGGACTGAAAGAAAGAAGGAAATACAGGAGTTTGAGTATTCAAGTCCTCTGGGGAGAGCCTGGGAAATCACATGGCGACCTCCTCTGGGGTACAGGGGTCTAGGTACAGGGGTACACCTGGGTGTGTATGAGGGGTGTACTCTAGAGCATGACGTCCCAGAAGCATCCATGTCTCCTGCACTCACCTCCCTTCCTCTTTGGGGGCTACCCTGGCCTTTGGTAGGACTGGAACTGCCCTCAGGGCAGGGGAGGGCTAGGGCCAAACCCAGGGTGGGGAGAGCCAGCAAGGGCCTGCCAGAACCAGAAATGTGGGAGGAAAATGAGAGGAGGGAACATGTTTTGTGCACCTGTCAAGGTTTGTATGCCAGTCAATGTACGGACAGTGCTGGAGGCACAAGCAAGGCAGGAGCTGGGTCTCTGTCCTGGCTGCCAAGAGAAAACTCGGGCAATTCCTTTTCTTCTTGTACCAGGCACCTGTCCTAAGGTCAGCAACCAAAGAAGAGCTCTTTGCCATACTGCCCGGGTATCCCTCAGTGGAAAGGTAAGGGCAAACCTGGGAATGGGTATTGAAATGAGAGCTCATTTCATAGACTTTTAGAGTGGGAAAGGCCTTTAGATGCATCCTAGTCTCCTCAAAATACAGGAGAAGTAAAAAAGGAGTTAGATGACTCAATCCCAGGAGGTTAAGATCTTTGCACAGGGCCACAGAGCTAGTTGGTGGAAAAGCCAGAGAGTGTCTTGGCTAGGTCCCCTGAGTTCTATCCCTGTACCATGCATACTTTCTTTTATTAGCATCTTGTAGTTCAGTCTCTAGTTCCTTACCCAATGAAGGTAGAGTCTGCCTCCACCTACCACAGGCAGAAGGCAGAAGGGGCACATATTGGGAGACAAGGTCAGGGGAGACAAGGTCAGGGGGCTCTCCTCTTAGTTGAGCCAGGAATGACCTTTCAAATTCTGGAATCCTGTTGTTTGTGCCTCAGTTTCTACAGTATTTGAGCCTGTGAGTAGATGGCTACGTAGAGCACTGTGGAGAAAATCAGACTACTATGTAGATGGAGGAATGAGGAAATGGGGGTGGGGGGTGGGGGCAGAGAGGAATGTTTCAAGGTTTTGATGGTCATGAGGTGGCTGATCTGAGAAAGACCATGCGAGTCCCTCTGCCTTATCCACAAGGCCAGTTATGTGTTTGAGGAGGAAACTGATCTTTCTTCTTCTTGTGCATCTCAGTTCAGGGATCCTCCTGTACCCTAGAGGCCTGCTTCCTGGAGTGGCTGAGTCTTCACCCCTCTCCATGGCCTTCAGGATTTATCGGGCCTGGGAGCTACATTCCTCCTAGGGGTAACAACACTGAACACAAAAGCTGGGAAAGGGGGAGGCCTGGAAAATGGGGTGTGTGAGGTGGGGGTTTCCTGGGGGCCTGGTTTTATTCCCCAGCCTGCCTCATTTAGCTCTGCCCCTGCTCCCTCCACTCCCAGGGCAGCACCAATGGCCCCAGCAGCAGGAGTAAAGTCATTGCTCACCATCCCCGCCAGGCAGAGTGCCGGGCTCTTCTTCCCAAGACCCACAGGCAGGGAGGGAAAAAGGAAGGAGCACAGCCTTTGCATTCTGGTCAACAACTCCCAGACATGCTCTGTGGGACTTGGTGTCTTCCAAGGGACTTTCTGATCCCAAGGTTCCAACATTTTCTGACAATACCTGTGATTCATTTATTCATTCACAGAGCAAACTTCCACTGAGCAGCTTCCTCAAACCAGGCATTGTGCTAGGTGAAAAGGACACAGGAATGAGTGGCTCCTATAATGACCTCCCTTCCTTCCTTGGAGTGCTGGTGTATCACTTTACGTTGTCTTCTGGAGAAAGGAAACCAGAAGGGACCCAAGCAGAAAACAGGCTGCTAAATGGCTCTGTCTCCAAGGGACTGTCAGGGAGACCTTGCCCTTTCAGCTGCTCCATGCATCCCACCCACTCCCCAGCCTCCTGTCTGATGCCCTTCTCTGCCCAGAGCATACTGGAGAGGGCGCTGGAGGGCTGGCCAGAGCCAGGGCCCAATGGCAACTTGAGGGGAGGAGGTAAGAATTGGAGGTCTCCTTCCCCCTGCGTAGAGGCGTGAAAGGATGTTTTCACCTGACAACCCCAGTCCCTTTGCTTTGCACCTGGGTTTCTCTTCCTCCCCACGCAATCTCTCACCCCATTATCCATAGACCTGGTGGGAATATTCTGGGTTTGTGAAGTAGGATAGTTTAGCAGGGCTAGGGATCCAGCAGCATTTGCTGACCCTTCACCATCTGAATCACTCTGGTTTAAAACAAACAAAATGTGCCACCACGCCTGTGTATGCGCAATAAGAACATTTTCTCTCCTGACACACTTCAGAAACAAGGTTTCCCATCCCTCCCAGGAGCCTGTGTTCCTGTGGTTCTCCCTCCTCCCTCTCTCCAGAACTCAGAACACACAGGATCTCTCCCAGTGGCTAAGGGGAGGCAGAGGGTACCGAGAGCATCTGAGGTCAAGGATGCGGCTGCCGGTCGAAGGGACTGTTCTGGGAACGCCCGGCCTCCGTCCCCCAAGTCCCCACCAGGGCACCTCCCGGAATCTTGTACCCGATGGCGTGGATGCCTCCCCTAATTCCATTGGTGATATCTCTGCCAGCCTGACTTGCACCCCGGGGTGCCCGGCGACCGAGTCCGCAGAGCATCCGGTGGCTGGGCGAAACGAGGAGCCACCGCGGGGCGGGGGGGGGGACGGGGGGGGTTGGCAAGCTGCGCGCAGGCCCCAGGTCCGGGGAGCTAGCGCCGGCTCCGCCTCCCCGCCGGCCGCGGGGGTTGAAAGCTGGGGCCGCGCTCCCAAGTCCGGAAAGTCGCCGGGACGCGCATCCCGCTAGGGTCCACGCCTGGAGGAGCACGCGCACGTGCAGGCGGCGGGGCCCCGAGTGGGCGAGCAGAGGTCGAGGCCGTGGGCTCGTCGGGGACCCGCGGCGCACTCGCCCTGGGTGAGCGGGCCGCTGCCATCTGCCGCAGCCGCCTTTCTCGCCGTCTTGGGTCGAACCCAAAGGATGGGCACCCTGGGGTCTCAGACCCGCGGGCGCTGCCGTCTGGGGACAGGGTGGGACGGACAGGTGGGATCGAATGCCCCAAACGCAGCGGCTCCGCAGACATCCGCTTGCCCCCCTTCCTTCCCCCACATTTATTGGGCGTTAACTAAGTGCCAGGTGGCACTGGGTGCTGGGGATACGCGGCAGACACGCGTAGCTTCAAGGCTGAGGGTGGAGACTCATAAATAATAACACTACAGCTGAGTGAGTGCCGCGCTAGGGAGAGCCAGCAGAAGCTGCTCCCAAACCCCAGGGGGAGGGGAGATCAAGGAAGGCTTCCGGAGGAGGTAACCTTTGGGCTGAGCGCTGAAGGGTGAGGCGTTCTCCCGGGGAAATGGATGGAGACAGACCAGTGCATTCCTGGTGAGAGGCGAATGTGGGCTGAGCAAGATGCCGTCTCCGCGCACTTTGCAAAGTAGGGTCACTGACAGCTAAAAAAGAAAATAATTTTTTTTTTTTTAAGTAGGCTCCATGGGGCTAGAACTCTTGACTCTGAGATCAAGTGTCAGTGTCTTAACTGAATAAGCCACCCACGTGCCTCATAATAATTTGATATTTTAAAGAGGGTATTGGGATAGTCACCGTGGGAAGGATCAGAACATTTTGTTAGTCTTCTTCACCCGTACTTTCCGGTTTGGTACTGTTTTATGTTTGAATGACTCTTGGTGGTGGTGGATAGGTGAAGCCTCACAATCTTCCTGAGCCTGCGGGGGCGGTGGTGAGGTGGGGTGGCCTTCCGAGCCACGTTCAGATTGGCCAGTCTGGAGAGGGCAGGCTAAAAAGCCGTTCTGCGCCTCTGGACTTACCCCAGGCCAGCCCCAGTGCCCACTGGAGTTTCTGAGCCAAGTGAGTGCTCCACTCTGGCTGGTCTCCTGCTGCCTACACCCCGTCCCTCGACCTGCTGCCCACTCCATCCCGACCCCTGCCACTCCGTCCCCGGAGTCTCTCCTCCCAAGCCCAGCAGCCTCTGCCCTAACAACAGCATTTATTGAACCGCTTCTGGGGAAAGGTACACTTAATCTTTATCTGTCTTTAAACCTGACAGATCCTATGTTAAAGATGGGAAATTCGTGGCTCATTGGCGTTAACTAGCTCAGCCCTAGGTAGTAAGTGGCAGAACTGGGATGTGAACCCTGTACTGAGCCTGCAGTGCCTTGTGACTCTTGGCTCCCCGCTGAGCCCAGAGCACCATCTGGAATCCCTAGATGTGCCTATGCTGCAGTAGCTAAACCCCTATGCAGGGCCAAGAAACTCTACCTCCAGGTTCTGCTCAGCCAGGATTGGGGCTGGCCTGGGGAACTTTACAGAGAAGACAGGCTGCCCCTTGGCCCTCTTACAGTGTTGCTGCTCCCTCCAGCCCAACGCTTTCCTCCTCAAGGGAACTCAGAGGGCCCCAGTGGCCAGTGAAGTCATGCAAAAACTCCGTGCTAGGGGTTGACGGTCTCCTGGCTCCCGAGAATTGCGGGACACTGGTGTCCAGGACTACCCAAGGAAAGCCCCCCCCCCACCAGGGCCCTAAGATCAAGTTGACTGACCCTATACCTCTCTCCCCTCTGCCTGTGGCAGTCAGCTTTCTTTCTGCCCCCAGGTATGGCTGCCCCAGGGCACTGGATCCTGGGAGATGCACAGATAAGGCTGTTCTCTGCCAAGAATCCCTGCTCTCTAGGGCCTAGGGAGCCCCCTGTTCCCAGCAGTCAGGTAGTGGGAGTGTTACGGAGTTGAACACCTTACTGGGCACAGCTGCAGGGTGAGCCCCAGGGACCTCCCCTCTCCCAACACCAGAGGCAGGCTTGGACTGGGCTCCTACCATTTTGATTGTCACCTCCCACCTTCCCATCTCTAAAGGGGAGTAGATGATCCAGGATGTTGCTTCCTAAAACATGGTCAGGAAGGTCTGAGACACCTCCTCAGCGAGTGGGGGGTGTGGAGCCCTTACAGATCGCCCTAGCGTGGGAGACTGAGGAAAGGATTCTAGTTTTTCTTTTTATTCAGGAGAGACAGAGAGAGAGAGAGAGGCGCAGAGGGAGAAGCAGGCTCCCAAGGAGCAGGGAGCCTGAGGCGGGACTCGATCCCAGGACCCTGGGATCATGACCTGAGCTGAAGGCAGATGCTTAACCATCTGAGCCACCCAGGCACCCCAGGATTCTAGTATTTCCTCCACAGCCTCCAGTCCCTAGGCTCCCCCTTCACTGTGCCTAGGTCAGCTGAAGGCTGGAGGCAGCAGCCTCTCACTGGGGTTAGGCAGTGTTAACAGGGTCCTAACAGGTTCCCTTGAAGCTGGTGGTTATCTTCCAAGGTAGGAAGTAGGGCAGGCCAACTGGGGAGGGCTCCTGGCTCTAGAGAGCTTGCAGAGAAGCTTCTGGGGAACCAGGCTGCTGAAGAGTTGAAAACAGCCACTTTCACTTTGAGGAGTGTCAGGCTAAGAGAAGGGGAAGGAGGAAAACCAAGCAAAAGAGAGGCTCTCTTGGTCTTTCAAAACATGACTTTGAGAGTCACCACTTGGGATGCAATCCTTGGACCCACATCTGATCCCCTCGTTCAAACAGGGTGGAAAGTTTATTTACAAATATCTGTATAGTTTGAGTGACAGGTCAGGACTCCAACGAAGCAAACAAAAGCATTCTTTTTGAAGGGAAGTTGTAGGCAGCAGACTTTCCCTGCACCTGTCAGAAGCCAAGACAGACAAACAGACCTATACATCATGAGCTAGGGTGATGGACATTGGCCTTTTCCCTTCTTGGAAGTGAAAAATGTACAAAACAGCCTTAGGTGACACACCCTTCAACACTGAACCACATGGAGGGGGGTGCATGTGGAGCAGGGAGCCACGGCAGCAACTCCCCAGCCTAAGAAAGACCGAGAACTGCCAAGAAACCTAGCTGGGGTGGGGGTTTTGGGGGAGGGGGACCAAGCCAAAGTCTTACGCCTGGTCAAGATCTTGGTTCAGAGGCCTTGCCTCAGTGGAGATTGGAGACAGGTTCTCGGTCCTGACTCCCAATCACTGAGGAGACTACTCAGGTGATATGCTGCTTGGCCTTTCTCCTTGCCGTGTGCTGGCGTCTCAGAAGCAAGTTTCTGCGGCTGCGTGTGGGGAGGCAGGGGCAAAGTGGCTACAGTGTGATGCAGTTTTAATAAAAATTTTATTACACAGCCATAATGTAATCGACACTTCTCCAAATCCAAATGATACTAAATACAGATCTACATGGTGGATCAGAATGACTCCAGCAAATTATATGGATCCTATAATTTCATGTCTTTGAAAACCAGAAAGAAAACAGTCCAGGTTCGTCATGATAGAAGAGGTCCCAGCAGCCTCCAGGACTCTGCCGGAGTCCGGGCAACGGTTCGCAGTCTGTGATTCCACATTTACATAAGAGTCTGTGAAGGGTTTCGGTCAATGGACTGTTCAAGTATAGATGATTTTAATGAGTCCATCGCCCACCTTTGCCCAACTGAACTGCGACACAGCCTACCACAGAGCTGTGTTACAGTCACAGTTCACCAAGTTTACAGTCACAATACGTTTTAAAAAACCATCCATTGCTGCTTCTTTTTCAAATAAAAAAAGTGTAAACTAAGTTAAAGCAACACCGAGGCTCCACTAAACCCAGAAGAGTCACCAAGTTCATTTTTCTGTTTAAATACAACTGAAGTCCGTGATTTCCCATCATCCCACTTCCTTACGGAAAAGTAGGGTGAAGAAGTACAAAGCGGAGCCTCTAAGTTCCTCCCCCTCTCGCGGGGCTCAGCGGCTCTCAGCTGTTTCTTTAGCTTAGTTCTGGGTATATGCAGTCAGCTGTACTTTGTTCTGAAAAGATTTGTTAAATGCCACTTTTATTTACACTTGGAGCTTTACACCTGAGAATGATTATCAAGCAGTCAGCTTATCTCTTTCCAAACATTTCATAAAGACATACACACTTCTTTGCTGGCTTCACCCTAGCTGCACAACAATATATATGCTTACCATATATATATGTATACACACACACAAAACACATGCTTGGAACATCTGCAACCTAAATCCTTTCTGTGTTCGTTCTCTCCGCATTCATGTTGAATACTTTCTCTTAAAAAAACAAGACAAAATATTATTCTTTCCGAAACAGCAAAACAGATTCACGAGGAAGAGACACGTACATGGGGTGGGGAAAAGATACAGTCTGTGTTCAGCCAAGAAGCTGCGGGCCGTACCCACAGGGTGAGCACGACGCCCGCGCTGCCCCGTCTGGTACCTGGCCGGGGGCTTCCCTCCCACCGGCCGGAACACAGCCTATACAGGGCAGGGGCCGCACGGGGTGCTCTCTCTGAAGGGGGAGGGGAGGGGAGGTCACACAGCTACAGCAGTCAGGCCTGTTTAGTAAGAAGAATCACATTTAATGAGTTTCTTTCTTGCGGTTTCAGATGCTTGAGTACAGCTGAAAAAAATCTGAAACGGCGATAGACCCATGACAGACTGATACAAAGAGTACTGCAGTTTAAAAAAATGATAAAAAAATCCACACTTACAGACACACACACACACACACACACTCTCTCTCTCTCTCTCTCTCAAATAACCCCCCCTCCCTCCCCACAAATGTACACTTTTTGGAAACTAAATTGGATTTGAAAACCTCTCTTCTGCAGAGATGGGAAGAAGAGAAAGATGAGGAGAGAGGAAGGAGGACTGCAGGTGCCCAGTCCCCACTCCCTCCACAAGGGTCTGGTGCCAAACGGCCAATGGTTGGGTCCCAGGCAGCCCACGGAGGAGACTGCCGAGTGCGGCCGCTGTCGCCACCAGGGGCTCCAGCAGGAATCCCAGCTCCATGCTAATACTGAATGTGTGCAGAGTGGCCAATGAACTGTGCTGGTTTAAAAACAAAAACAAAAACGAAACAAAAAAAAGGCAAACACAAATCTAAAGACATGGATAAAGCCCAAGAGAGCCCAGGCCCACACTGGGTGAGAGGCCTGGCGGGTGGGTGGGAGATGGTGCAGACAAGGGAGGTCTTTACAGCAAATGGTTTATATTACAGATGACTGGCAGTTCCAGAGTCTCTTCCCAGTTCTGCTGCTGCTCCAGCCCAAAGAGGGCAAATCAAAGGGAAAGAGGACACTGCGATGGGGCATGCAGGGTCAGGAGCAGCAGGCTGGGTGCGCTCAAATAAGCCCTCGTCGTTTTTTGTAGTCTTCCAAGTTTAGCGATCTCCTCGGAGCCCCGTCTTTGGCTGGCGGAGCCTTGGAGGTGATGGCCAAAGCCTTTGACTCTGTGGGAGAGAAGAGCAAACTGGCATCTGAGGCGCCTACCAAGCCCTTGGTAAAGTCCTGCGCTGCACTCCTCCGGTAGCCTGCTGCCTGTCCCCGCTCCCTCTGGCCTCTATAGCTACGGAGGCGCGGACACCCGCACTTTCCCCCGAACCCTGGGCCTCCCTGCTGGCCAAGTCAGCCCCGGTGCCGTCCGGTCCTCAGCCACCACCGCTCCCCCACCCTCACCTACCCGAGCTGGGAACTTGTAAGTCAATCTTCACGTCGAAATCATGTACTTTGAACAAATCTTCGGAGAGGTCGCTGGCTGACTTAGAATTCAAATCTTTATCCTTTCCCTGACCCTGCAATGTGAAGAGAAAAACTCAGCATCAAAGTACAAATGCAAGTGGACTTCAAGAGGCGGCAGCCACTAATGGTCAAAAACGCTTTGGCTCAAGTTGACCAGCTCTTTCTGGTCCCTTCTCTCAGAGGGGGGATAGGAGAGGCCACAGGAAGGCTTCTTCTCTGAAGCCTAAAAGAGGAAAGGGAAGGCTCGTGTCTGTGGTGTGGGGGATGAGGGGCTTAAGACAATAAGCTAACCTTCTGACCCAAGATTTCAGAAATTCCTGGGACAGTTTGGGCTCCACAGGAAAAGACCTAACTTACGCAAAAAACTGCTTCTAAGTGGGCAGTTTCTCTGTTAACATTTTAGTTCTCAAAGAGCTTTCACATTTACAACCATCTGATCGTTATGTGTCATCAGCTTTTCCTAATCATCCTGTGAGGCAGCAGGATAGAGTATTATCCCCATTTTACACGCGAGAAAATGTGGATCAGAGGGCTAGATATCAGTCGCCTAAAGCTGTAATCAAGGCCTTAGTTAAGTAGTGGTGTTGGGTTCAGCATTTAGGTTTTCAAAGTCGAAGTTCAGTAGCTGTTTATCGTATTTGTAAAGAATCAGGATGGAGAAAGGGCTGCAAGTGGGAGGCTATGTGCCTCCACGTGGGAAGAGTCAGGCCTAACCCAGGCCGAGTGTCCGGGCTGGCAGCCTTGCGGGCCACAGGGCAGCACTGCACTTGCCTTGCTCATTTCCTTCGGAGCATCTGGTAACACTCCAGAACCGTATTTTGCATTCAGCTGGGCCAAGATGGCAGCTTGAACAGCTGGGTCTCTGGACTGAGAGAGAAATTAAGTTATTTTAGAGATTATTTAATACTCAGGGCAACGCCAGATTCTTTCCCATCGACCATGCTAACATCACAAGCACCACAGTGGACCCATCAGCAGCTCAGTGGGGTTTTCCTCAAGGCAGCAAAGAGAGGCAATTAAAGCTTTGAAGCCCAGCCCAGGCCGGCCTGGCCCTAGGTCGCCCAGCCTCCACAATCCTAATGTCTGCTGCATTGGTAAACCCACCCCGACACAGGAGGGGTGAGTCTGGAGGTATCTACAAATCCGTGCCAGGTTTTCACTCCCTGTATGGCCTACAGCAACATTTAAAAAAAGAAAAAAAGAAAAAGAGGTAGCCAGACCCAAGAGTTCGAGGCAAGAAAATCCCACTAAGACAACATTATTTTTAACTTCCTTATTAATGTCCTAATGGGATTCATTTTATGTCCTAGAATCTAGGTCCTGACTAAAAACGTCCTCTTTCGGCACTCACATTAGAAACGATGGTAGGTTTGCACTGCCGCCTCGTAAAGGGATCCATCTGTTGGTTTTTCATGTTGTGACTTTCAGCCTGAAACAGACAGCATGCATTACAGAACTGTGTCTCCTTTCCCCCGCCTCTCGTTTATCCGAAGCTTACATATAAATACAGTCTTGGCAAGGGCTAAAGAAAGTCAAAAGTGGTCTCTCATCCTCTTGCCTTCAAGAACACCAGAGCAGGGCACCTGGGTGGCTCAGTCGTTGGGCGTCTGCCTTCGGCTCAGGTCATGATCCCAGGGTCCTGGGATCGAGCCCCACACCGGGCTCCCTGCTCAGCAGGAAGCCTGCTTCTCCCTCTCCCACTCCCCCTGCTTGTGTTCCCTCTCTCTCTGTGTCTCTCTCTCTGTTAAATAAATAAGTAAATAATCTTTAAAAACAAAAACAAAAACAAAAAACAACACCAGAGCAGACGGGGGCAGCAACCGAAAGAACAGAAGTGCAAGTCGATGAAGATGCACACCCGTGGAGTAGAAGCTAAGAGGGTGAGACGGGCAGGAGACTGCTGCTTTTCGTCGTCAATCAATAAATCCTATGGGTGTACGTGTGCACCCAGAGCATGTGTATGTGAAGTGTACATGTTACGCCAGTAACTAAAAAAATAAACGGGAGCAAGATGTAGAGAAGACTTTTTTTTTAAAGATTTTATTTATTTATTTGAGAGAGAGAAACAGCATGAGAGGAGAGAAGGTCAGCGGGAGAAGCAGGCTCCCCACTGACCCAGGAGCCCGATGTGGGACTCGATCCCAGGACTCTGGGATCATGACCTGAGCCGAAGGCAGTCGCTCAACCAACTGAGCCACCCAGAGACCCTAGAGAAGACTTCGTATCGTTTTATTCATTAAAATTGTTCTCAGCGATCCAAATACAGTTGTCTTACTCACCACAAGGGCCTTCTCAGACTCCACGATGTTCCACTCCCGGTTCCGCTGGTTGATGTAACTGTGGGTGAGTGAAAGGGGGAGTCAGTGGGCTGTGGAGGGAGGGAAGCCCTCAGCCCGGACCCCGGAGCCACACGGAGCCAGCGCAGCGCAGCGTGTGCAAGGCCACGGGCTCGCCTGACGACTGTGACACGGTCTGTGGGTCCAGAGTAGGAGCTCAATGGAAGCGGGCCCTCTAACACACCTGATAGCGGATATGTTCTTGGTCCGCTGGCGGTCCAGGGCCTCTGCCCGCTCCTCCAGCTCATTCAGCTGGTCTTGGATCTGTTTGGCCTTGTCCTGATCCCCCAGGTCCTCAGCCATGGCCTGCACACAGACAGACGTGTGAGTTTTGGGCTGTGACGGGCCCCGGATCAAGTGTCCTCTTACTTCCAGCACAGGCGAGACAGCTCACGTGATAAACAAACGACAGGAAATATGACAGGACACTGAAAACAAGCTTTACAAATGCAAGGTATAATTCTTATTATTGTAGTTAACATCTTGCCATGTCCTATCTGGCCCTGGGCCCCTGGTAGCAGGGATGTGGAACACTGACCTCGGAACCCAGGCCCCATGGGGCTCACTCACCCTACCAAGGCTCACCCCCATCCTGAGGTGAAGAATGGAAAGCCACCCACCTCAGCCAGGCTTGGCAGGATCATCTGTTCAGACCCAGTGCTGAGAGGACCCTGGCTTCTGTCTTATTACACATAAAACAAAAGGGACTAGGAAGTAAGGAGAACGGAACGGACACGATCAATTTACAGAAAGGAAAATGGCCAAGGGATGGTGCCCGGGTGCCAGGAGGCACCGTGTTGCTTCCTCTGGAGCTCAATCCCGCCACCACCAGCTGAGCAGGAGATGAACAAGTCTGATTTCCACATCTTACAGGATGAGGAAGGAGGTTCAAGTGCAAGTCCTCACCTTTTCCTTTAGCAGCTGAGTCTTCTTCATAGCATAGTTGGGTGGAGCTTTCCTGAACCTTTCTTTCTCCTTTACAATCTGTACCAGAGAGGAGATACCAGCAGTGAGGTATTCCTAAACTATTTCTGGAGACAGGCTAAGTGAGCCCGTTTTGGAGGCAAGCAGCTAGTTAAAAGGGGGCTGCTCTTCCTACGGCAATGTCACGCCCCAGAGACAGCGAGCGAGTTCATTCCAAGGGCTACTACGCTGCTTCCAGGGCCACGGAAATTCTTCTGGCACAGTCTGAAGGAACATGCACCAATAAACAGCAGCGGCCCAAGGACCTGGTGCTGGAAGGCTAGCCACTGTCCAAGAGGACAGTGATCAAAGATTTTTACCAAAATGTTTTGCAGAAAGGAAACTCCTGAAGGACCAAGCCTAGCAGAATGCAGATCCCTGAACTCTCAGTGCACTTCTGTACTCCAGGACTTCAAATGAGAACGCACAGAGGAAATCTGGATGAAGTGCTAAGAAGGCAGTAGTAACAACACCCTCTCAGCCCTTGTGCAGCAGCACAGCTAAAATCGGCAAGACACAGGGAAGAGAAGAAAGGCACCACCCTCCCCAACACCGGCTCCTACTGAACCTCCGGTCTCGGGGCGCCGGGTTTCTCACCTCTTCAATGTCCTGGTCATTGAATTTATAATTAAGAGCTTCTTTAATAGACAACTCCTTCTTATTGATTTCATCTAGAGTGGGCAACTGCATGCCAGCAGAGAACATCTAGACCGAAACATCACAAAAAATTATTAATGAGAGATTCTGGAAACTTCCTCAGAGTTTTCATGAACTGCTAGGTGCTATCTATAAACTTACCGCTTCTTTCCATTTCATGAATTCGCTTTCAGTGAATTCTTGGTTTGAGACAAACTCTAGGCGGAACACTCGTTGGTCGTTGCCATGCCTACGTAAAAAAGAGACAGCACGTCCAAGAATGGGTATGTTCCCTGCGGTAGCAGCAGAGCGACCCAACCAGACTGTGAACCACCCATCTCTGTGGTTCTCAATTGGCTGCCCTTTAGAATCACCCAGGAAGATCTGTAAAAATTCTTATGTCAAAGCACCACTCTAGTTCAACTGAATCAGAATCTCCTGGAGAAAGGACCAGGAAATGAGATTAAACAAACAATACCTCCCAGGCTGTTCTAATGGGCAGCCAGGATAAAGAATCACAGCTAGACTGGGGAAAAATTGGACTTGGCCAGTGCTTCAAAAGTCCATTTACAATAAAATCTGTCACCATCAACTGGCATCAAGAATATGAAATATTATGTAGCTATCTGAATGACAAGGAAACTCCATTCCCTAGAGAGAAAACATACTGCCTTCTGACTGACCCCTATGGTGGCAAAGTTATGGGAGTCAGTGCCATTCTCCTAGGGACAGTCACTCTCTGCATGTCATCATTGCCTACCCCAACTGGTTCTTTTAAAACAGACCAGGAAAGACGATGGGGACAGGAGAAGGGAATGGAGACCACAGAGACCAAATTAGGCCATGGTAGAACCGAATCTATCAGCTACGATTTGCAGTGATTCTGGCAAATGACTTCTATTCCTTCTTATACAGGGTCTCTAGAATTTTCAGGCTCCAAGAGGGCAGGGATTTGTGTGTGTCTACTTTGTTTTTGCCTCTATCCTGATGCCCAGAACAGTGGCATGTAGCAGGCCCTCAGTAAGGATCATGTTACAGAAGAGGAAACCAAGTCCTGAAAGGTGGCTTGACCTGTCAAAGATCAGCTTCGTTAGGGACAGAGCCAGGACCAGAAGCAAGCCTCCTGACCATGGTCACCAAGTAAATGCCTGCAGGGCTCTGGATGGGGGAGCTCCCAACCTGCTTTTTTCCTTCTCTGTGTCCTACCGCTTCTTGTCCCGGATTCCCCTCTGAGAGAGAGATCCTAAAGGCAGAATAAGGTTCCCTCCAAGTCCCCTATGGGGACAAGAGAAATTCACTCTAACAAGAAACATCACACTGGGGGGCGCCTGGGGGGCTCAGTCGTTAAGTGCCTGCCTTCGGCTCGGGTCATGATCCTGGGGTCCTGGGATCAAGTCCCGCGTCGGGCTCCCTGCTCTGCGGGATCCCTGCTTCTCCCTCCCCCACTCCCCCTGCTTCTCCCTCTCCCACTCCCCCTGCTCGTGTTCCCTCTCTCGCTGTGTCTCTCTCTGTCAAATAAATAAATACAATCTTAAAACAGACAAAAAGGAGCCATCACAGCGGGCCCTGCCAGGCAGCGCCCGTGTGCAGCAGGAGCAGAAGCCCACAGCAGCGCCCCCTACCGTAGCTGGAGCCCTTTGTTTGTCCTGGTGCCACCAAGCTGGTAAACTTTAGCGGTTTCCACAACACCCGTGATCTCAGCCACCTAAGTGAAAGGACAGAGCCGCCAGTTAAAAACACTCTTTCAGAGCTCTCCACACCACTCCCTCTTTGGCTCTACCAACCTAACTGCGGACGAGTGGCCCTGCACTGAGAGGACCCCACAGCTGCCAGGGGCTCTGGGCACCTTCCTCAGGTTCAGAACCCAGATGGCCAAGCACCAGGAGCCCCGAACACAGAGTGAGCAAGCGCCAGGAGAGGAGCCAGTTAGCCTGGTGGGGCCCATCAGGAGCTTCCCCTCTGACTTAATTCTACCTTACTAAGGGGATGTACTTGGGATCTCAGAGGTCACTTTTATCAACCAAATATGAAGACCATGGAAGTCAGTTTGTGTTTGTCAAGCTTTCTGGGACTCGGCATGGGTGCTGGTCTTCACAGAAGGAGGTAAACACATATTAAAACCATACAACCCAGGCTAAAACAAACAAAAAGAAAAAAAGAAAAAAAATCAAACAGCTATGTTCCAGCTATCCAGATCATAGAAGCAGCGCCAGAACTCACAAAACCACCTCTCTTAGGTTGGAAGGTGGTTTTTTGTGTTTTTGTGTTTGTTTTTAAACCTCAATATAATTCTGTTTCCATGTAACATGGAAAACTTTCATTTATTTATTTTTCAAATGAACAAAGCTTCCAGATTATGTAACTCCCAATGAATACTCCCTAAATGTCTCTCTTCTTGCTTTTATATGAAGGGAAAATAAAAAGAGTTAGTTTAAATCCAAACCCCCCTCCATTGGACTCCAAAGACTCTTTCTGACAGCAGGTCATGCATGATCTCTGGTTACTTCAGATTGTCATTATTCTACAGGCATCTCAATTAGAGTCTATTTTCCCATCAAATGGTAGCAGAAAAGTGACAGACTTGTTCAGCAGCTCCTACTCCCAGTCAAGAATCATTATATTTAAAACATGGACAATTGTCCATGGAAAGAAACACCAACCCGGTATACTGGTTTGCTGTTGTGGTTTCCAATGCCAATCCGTACAAAACATCCTGTGACCGTTTTAGCAAAGAAGGGCATGTGACACCAACGCTCTAGCTTATGCCGTGATAATCGAACCCGATTCAATTCCTCGGGTAAGGAGACTGGTTGTGATTTGGGAGGGATCTCTTCTTTCCTGTGAGGAATAAAGGGCAATGGGAAAAGTGTTCCTCATAAAAACAGATCAAGGGGTGCCTGGGTGGCTCAGTCGGTTAAGTGTCCCCGACTCTTGATTTTGGTTCAGGTCATGATCTCAGGATTGCAATATCCAGCCCCGTGTTGGGCTCCACACTGGGCGTGGAGCCTGCTTAACATTTTCTCTCCCTCCCTCTGCTCCCCACCCCCAGCCTCTGGCATGTGCTCTCTTTCTGGAAAAACAAAACCAAAAACCTCACAAACAAACAAAACAACAACAACAACAACAAAAATCAGATCAAGATAAATACTACCAACTTCTTAACACTAAACCAAAGTACGTGTGATTAACCATAAGAGAAATAAATGAAGCCACAGGAAAGGGTGGTAAGAGAACCCTGCTCCTGTGTGAAGTGTCTGCAACGAGCCTGTCATTCCGGATAACCTATCAGAGTAAGAAAAGTCACAGAAGCTCCAGACCAGTCTGAGGGTGACATGAAGTCAGTCCTTACCTGCCAGGCCCGGATGAGACGTCGAGTGGTGCAGGCTAGATTGCCAAAGGCAGGAGCACATTTTTGGGCTGATGTGTTGGGGAACTCAGCTCTGCAATTCAGGGTACTGAACCAAATCAAAGTTCACCATCCACACAAGAACATTTTGGAAGCCACGGTAAGTTTCTCCCCAAAGAACCCACCTATCCTGACTACTAGACCAAAATCTATGCAAGCTTACTCCTCCTCTTCATCAGACGACGACGTGCGGGACGAGCGGTCCGACTTTTCGCTGGACTTGTCATCCTCCTCTTCTTCCTCATCATCAGAGTACACCTCACTGGTTTTCAGTGGCTGTTTCTTAGCAAGGAGCTCAGCTAAAAAGAAAGGGGAAAGGTTCATCCACATTCTCTCAGTAAGAAACTGAAACATCTTTCATCCTTGAAAAAGAACCTGGACTTGGGAAGGGACTCAAGAGACAGCCCCGTCGTCCCTAGATTGCACGGTGATCACTTGGGCTACATACAGAAGCAAGTTAAACCAGAGTTAAAAACATTCAGGCACCAAATGTCAAGCTTTAATAGACAAAAAAAGGCTGTGAGTTTATTGCTAAGTGGGCAGAAAGGGTCACCAACTCTACTGACAGTTGTCTTTATTACACTCAAGATGCCTGAAAATGGGTAAGAAAGATGGGGAAAAATTTTGTGATGTCTTCAGAGGGTCTTGGAGAAAAACTTTATTTTCAATTTAAAGTACTATTTGAATTAGGAGAAGACTGAAAACAACCCAAATGTCTGCACAGGGGAGTGGCTGAATCACCTCCAGTACATCTACCTAAACAGACTACTATGCAGCTATAAAAAAGGAATCAGGGGCGCCTGGGTGGTGCAGTCAGTTGAACGTCTGACACTTGGTTTCGGCTCAGGACAGGATCTCAGCTGTGGGACAGAGCCCCATGTGGGGCTCTGCACTGAGCACGGAGTCTGCTTCAAATTCTCTCTCCCTCCTGCTCACACTAATAAATTAATAAATAAAATTTTTAAGAAAAGATTTTTATTTATTTGAGAGAGAAAGAGATAGTAAGAGAGAGCACGAGTGGGGAGGAGAGGGAGAAGCAGACTCCCCGTGAGTAGGGAGCCCAATGTGGGGTTTGATCCCAGAACCCTGGGATCATGACCTGAGCTGAAGGCAGACACTTAACCAACTGAGCCACCCACACACCCGTAAATAAATAAAATCTTAAAAAAAAAAAAGGAATGAGCCATTACACTACATCCTGAGTCAGAAAATGTTTTTTGGAGGGGTAGTCAGTAAATATTTTAGGATTGTGCTTCATGGTCACTATTTCAACTACTCAGCTTTGCTGCTGTAGATAAAAAGCAGCTACAATTATGAAACAAATGGGCACTGCTGCTTTCCAATAATAATCTATTTACAAAATCATGTAGTTTAGAGGTGCCTGGCTGGCCGAACCCCACAATGGGTATACAGATTACTTAAATAAAACTTAAAAAAAAAGTCATCTACCAACCACTATGTGACATAAAAACTAAGGAGTGACCTCTAGGATCTGTGGTTAAGTGAAAAAAGCAAGGTAGACGAAAAGTATGCCTGGTAAGCTACCATTAATCTAAGATGGAAGGTGAATCTGTGTCCTTTCATTAAAAAAAAAAAAAGGAAGGATAAGATATAAAAATTTTTTTTAAATGGTTGCCTGTTACAGGAGGGAGGCCAGGGTGAAATAGAAAGGTATAGATACTAAATCTCTTTGAATATACCTTGTTTATTAGCAGCTTTGATTTGGGGAACCCTTTTTTTTTTTGTTTTTTTAAGTAAGCTCTACCCCCAACATGGGACTTGAACTCACAGACCCTGAGATCAACAGTTGCATGCTCTACTGACTGAGCCAGCCAGGTGCCCCTGGAACCTTGTATTTCATATAATCACGGAATAAAATAATAATAAAAAAGTCACCTCTATACATCACAAGAAAAATGAAATATTCAACTGATGGCATAATCACACAATAGGAACTCTAAGAGTTGACATTAAAATACAGTCGTTCAAAAGAAAGACACATAGGGGCGCCTGGGTGGCTCAGTTGGTTAAGCGACTGCCTTCGGCTCAGGTCATGATCCTGGAGTCCCGGGATCGAGTCCCACATCGGGCTCCCTGCTCGGCGGGGAGTCTGCTTCTCCCTCTGACCCTCTTCCCTCTTGTGCTCTCTATCTCTCATTCTCTCTCAAATAAATAAAATCTTAAAAGAAAAAAAAAGAAAGACACACAGATCAATGAAACAGAAAGCCCAGAAAGAGACCCTTGCATATACGGTCAAATGATTTTCAACAAGGGTGTCTTTTTTTTAAAGAGCCGAAGGCAGTCGCCCAACCAACTGAGCCACCCAGGCGCCCAACAAGGGTGTCTGAGAAAACTGGACATACCATGCGAAAAAAAAAAGAAGTTAGACTCTTACTCTATACTATACATGAATCAAAGACCTAAATGTGGGGCGCGTGGGCGGCTCAGCCCGTAAAGCGTCCGACTCTTGATTTTGGCTCAGGTCATGATCTCAGGGTTGTGAGATGGAGCGCAAGGCTCCACATAAGATTCTCTCTCTCCCTCTCCCTCTGCCCCTCCCTACCCTCTCTGTCTAAAAACCAAACCAAACAAACTAACCAAAACCAAAAAACAAAGACCTAAATGTAAGAGCTAAAACTATAAAACTCTTAAAAGAAAACATAAGGGAAATGCTTCACAACACTGGATCTGGCAATGATTTCTTGGATAGGACACCAAAAGCATAAGCAATGAAAGAAAACACATTAAGCTAAATTGTACTTCATCAAAATTAAAAACTTTTATGCAACAAAAAGATACTATCAAGAGTGAAAAGAAACCTATGAATGGAAGAAAATATTTGCAAATCATATATCTGATGAGGGATTAATATTCAAAATATTTGAAGAACTCACAACTCAACAACAGAAAACAAAGAACTTGATTAAAAAATGGGCAAAGGACTTGAACAGACATTTCATCAAAGAAAGATACCCTAATGGTCAATAAGCACATGAAAAGATGCTCAACACCACTAATCATTAGGAAATGCAAATCAAAACCACAATGAAACACCACTTCATTCCCACTAAGGTTCCTATAATCAGAAAGACAATTAACGAGTCTTGGTAAAGATGTGGAAAAAGTGGAACCTTTATACTTTGCTGGTGGGAATGCAAAAAGCCTCTTTGGAAAACAGTCTGGTAGTTTCTTTTCTTTCTTTCTTTTTTAAAGATTTTATTTATTTGAGAGAGAGAGAGAGAGAGAGACCACAAGCAGGGGGGAGGGGTAAGGGAGAAGGAGGCTCCCCAGCGAGCAGGGAGCCCAATGTGGGACTCCACCCCAGGACCCTAGGATCATGACCTGAGTTGAAGGCAGATGCTTAACCAACTGAACCACCCAGGCATCCTGCTACCTTTGTTTTATCTCAATATCGCTGTTATAAAAAACAAAACAAAAACCTCTGCATTCTGATTCTGAAATGGACTTATCAATATGGAGCTCATAAAGATAAAATTTATCCTTAAAAAATAAAAAATCCTAGCTCTCTGTACCGAAAGGCTTAGAAATAATAGCCAGCCCAGTAGCATGGGCCCTCCTTATGTCTAGACTATGGTGTCTAGTAACAGTTTCTCATGAAAAGGCTCCTTGGAGAAATGGCAGATTCCAAATCCAGAAAGCAAGGAAACTACTGAAGACTACTGGAGTCTCACATCAAAAGGACTCAGGCTAGCGACTGAAGATGGGACAATTTGAGAGTCAACTGATTAAATAAATGGATTAAAATACACAAAAGGATGTTTAAATCCATGAATTCAAAAGGATATTCAAAATAAGCAAACAGGGGTGCCTGGGTGGCTCAGTGAAGCCTCTGCCTTCAGCTCAGGTCATGATCTCAGGGTCCTGGGGTCCAGCCCCACAGGGGGCTCCTTGCTCAGGGGGGAGTCTGCTTCTCCCACCCCCACGTGTGCTTTCTCTTGTTCTCTCAAATAAATAAAATCTTTAAAAAAAAAAAAAAAATATATATATAAAAACACACACACACACACACTTAAAATATGCAAATAAACCTCAGTGGTCACCTTTGGAAGCTGCTAAGGTACTATCTCATTCTTTTGAAAACTAGTAATAAAAGGAAAAAAAAAATCCACCTTTCTGCCTTTCCTATACAAAATGTACCTAATGTACCTAATGATAACTAAATAGCTGATGTGAAGTTTCTCTTTGTAAAAGTAGACCGGATAATAAATGAAGAAAGAATGATAGATTAGAATATCACCATTTTGCAACTCATAATAAATGAAATGATCTAGGTAATGATTATCAATGGCTACTGGGATAGACTATATTACTATTTCCCAATTCTTCATCCTTCTCGGTACCCATGCCCTTTGCCATGTGACTCAGTAGTTCTCCCAGCCATTAATGATGGGCTGTCATGTGACTTGCTTCAGCCAATGGAGTATGCACAGACCTGACGCTGCACCTGCCAATGTCAAGTCTAGGCCTCAAGAGGCATCTCGCGTTTCTGCTTGCCACTATTACATTTCTACCGTCACCAAGAGAAGAATGTACCCTAGGTATACTGGTCTGAGGAAGGAGAGAGACAGGTGTAACAGACCTCGTCCCAACCTGTAGCTTGGAGACAATCCCAGCAAACTTGTATATGAGGCAACCCTCTGCTCAACTGCAGATCCACAATCAGGAGCAAATGCATATTTTCTGAGTTTGGAGCAGTCTTTTATTTCACGTTCATGTGGTAAAAACTAAATGACAGCTGGTAATATTACAAAATGTGAGACACAGGTATTATGTGTCTCCTGATGGCAGTATACACCACCACTAAAACTCAGCCTCCCCTCACCATCCCCCCCAAAAACCGAAACCGAAACCAAAACAGAATAAATCCAAATGTGTCCAATTCCCTAGCTCTAACTACAAATTACAGGAAATTCAAGAGACTAGAGCAACACATTCAACACCTCCAATGGGACGTACCCAGCATCTGAGAAACTACAGGATGAAGGACCTAGTTTCTTCAAAATAAGCTGCAAGGGGGATAAAGAGATGAACAGGAAAACCTAAACAGATTAAGTGACCTCAGGGACATATTAACAACTCAAAATGTGTGGATTTTTTTAAGATCCTGATTCGAACAACCAAATTAGTATATTTTAACTATATATCAACTGGAGAAATTTGAACACTGACTAGATATTTGATAATATTAAGAAAGTCACTGTTACTGTTTTTTAGATGTGATAATGATATTGTAATGTTTAAAACAAAAGAGTGCTTATCTTTTAAAGACACATATGGAAATATTTATGGTTGAAATACAACGATGCTGTGATTTACAAAATAACCCAACGAAAGAGGGGAATATAGATTTAACAAGACTGGTTATGAGTTGATTGTTGAGGCTGGATGATGGGTTCACGGAGTTTCATTATACTATTCTCTGTATGTGTTTGGAATTACTCAAAATAAAGAGCTTAAAAAAAAAGGCTGATAAAAGGGGGGAAAATATAAACGGGCACCAGAACGTCAAATCATATGATCCCAGAGACAAAGCAGCCATTACATTTTCCCCACTGACCTGTTCTGTTCTTCCGTTTTTCTCGCTCTGCTTTTAGCTCCTCCATGGCTTGAGATTTCTTATCTAGTTTCTCATCCCGTTTGGAACGCCGTTCCTTGTTGTGGGATGTTACCTGGGAAGGGAAAAATAAGTAGGATGGTTCTTTTTATTAACAGCCAATGACAACATTCTCTACACCTAACAATCATTCAATTTTCCAGTGGGGATCTATATAGGCTGCAGAAACTGAAACTTGTTTAGGGGAAAATAGCATCCTCTAGTGGACAAAGAGGATAGAGCATAAAGTCAGCTCCTGTCTTACCAGCCTAATAAACAGAAAGCCTAAGAATTATAGGAATAAACACTTTATGGAAGGCCACCCTAGATGGCTTATATTTGTGGATATTTTTAACAAGCTTTTTGTGATGAATTCAGAGATGAATAATTTTTGCAGCTACATTTATTACCAAGTCCAGGATGACACACACATGAGTAAACCTCAGAACTAATCCGGCTACTTGGGACAGGACGTTTATCAACTTTCCCTTAAGGAATGCTCACACACCAGTGAGTTGTTTTTTAAAAAGGAGACCTGAATGAAGAATTACTAAGGAATTAAACAGCACAGCTAATGATGAAATGATACATCCAGAGATTAGTGAACCTACAAGATAAAGATAATATGTCTTGCACGAACTGAACTAGGCGGATTAATATAAAACCATCTTTTACATAAACACACAAATACACACACACACACACACTCAAAACTGAGGTTCATTTTTTGGATAACAAGGACCATTGAATTTCCTACCTGAGATTCTTGAATCTGTGTCAGCTTTTTCTTTTCCTGCTCTTCTTCTTGCTTTTTCTTTTTTTCTTTCTTTTCTTTCTTTTTGGCTGTTTTTAGTTTTTTCCTGATTTCAAATCTGGTTAAAAGATATTTGTTTGGTTTTTAGATGGCAGTGAAGTATGTACAAAAACTGATTTCTATTAGATAGGATAAAGAAAATAAGTAGGGGGAAGGAATTAAACATCTTGGTTTCCTACAAGAAACTCCAATGTACCTTATAGGTACATTAAAAATAACATAAGTATACCAGAAGTACTTGAAAGCATTAAGTTGGAATAGATTTAAAATGAGAGAAAATATTCAGAATACTATTGTACCCTGTTGATAACACACAGCTCTTCTTCAACCCTCATATAACATAGGAAAATAGTTGATTTCTGGATCAACTGCAATGCTGTTCCATTAGAAACAGAATGAAACCACAGAGAGCCACTGTCACTTTTTTTTTTTAAAAGATTTAATTATTTCAGAGAGACACACAGTGGGGGAGAGGGACAGAGGGAGAGAGAATCCCAAGTGGACTCTGCGCTGAGCTTGGAGCCTGACATGGGCTTGATGTCATAACCCTGAGATCACAACCTAAGTCGAAACCAAGAGTCGGAAGCTCAACTGACTGAGCCACCCAGGTGCCCCCACTGTCACATTTTTTTTTTTTCTTAAAGATTTATTTATTTGACAGAGAGAGACAGAGCAAGAGAGGGAACACAAGCAGGGGGAGGGGGAGAGGGAGAAGTAGGCTTCCCGCGGAGCAGGGAGCCCGATGTGCGGCTCGATCCCAGGATCCTGGCATCATGACCTGAGTCGAAGGCAGATGCTTAACGACTGAGCCACCCAGGCATCCCCCCACTGTCACATTTTTAAGGTGGTCAGGACAAAGACTGTATCTTAAAAACACCACTCTTGAGGTGCCTGGCTGGCTCAGTTGGTGGAGCATGTGATTCTTGATCTCCAGGTTGTGAATTCGAGCCCCACCCTGGGTGTAGAGATTATTTAAAAACAACATCTTAAAAACAAAAATAAAAAAACCCACCACTCTCCATCTTTATTAGGAAAAATGCCCTCCCCTTCACGTCCACACCAGCAAACATAATGAATAAATATGCTGTGAATAAACACACTATTCTCTTCAACAAATGCAATCTAGGCTCCTTCCCTATAATAAAAATCAGGCTCTTATGAAACAAAACTATTTTGGGAGGCATGAATTTAAGGAACATTATGGAAGGAATAAAGGAATATAATAAACATTAAACTTTTCATAACACTTTAACCCCAACTATCAATTTTTTTTTTAAGATTTTATTTATTTATTCGAGAGAGAGAGAATGAGAGACAGAAAGCATGAGAGGGAAGAGGGTCAGAGGGAGAAGCAGATCCCCCCGCTGAGCAGGGAGCCTGATGCGGGACTCGATCCTGGGACTCCAGGATCATGACCTGAGCCGAAGGCAGTTGCTTAACCAACTGAGCCACCCAGGCGCCCAATTTTTTTTACTTAATTTTTAACAGAGTACACAAATCTCTTTTGTTATGTCCTTTACATTCACGATTAAGGGTGTTAATGTACTTTTGTAATATGATATAAAGAAGCACTGTTAATGAATTTACTTCATTTAGAAACACATAGCAACATACTCCTAAATAACCAATGGGTCAAAGAAGAAATCACAAGGGAAATTTGAAAATAATTTGAGGACTGAAAATGAATATACAACATAACAAAACTTACAGGATGTAGCTAAAGCAGTGTCTATAGGGAAATGTATAGCTATAAATGCCTATATTAAAAAGGAAGATGGGGTAGCTGGTTGGCAAGCTGGCTCAGTTGGTAGAACATGTGACTTTTGATCTTGGGGTTGTGAGTTCAAGCCCCATGTTGGGCACAGCGCTTACTTAAAAAAAAAAATTTCAAATCAGTAACTTAACCTCTACCTTAACAGAGTGGAAAAAGAAGAGCAAACTAAATGTACATCAAGCAGAAAAAAAGAATTAATAAAGATTAGAGCAGGAATTAATGAAAACACAGAATAGGAAAACAATAATCAATGGAACCAGAAGTAGCTTCTTGGAAAAGATCAACAAAATTGACAAAACTTCGTCTAAATAGGCCAAGAAAAAATGACAAGATTCAAATTACTAAAATCAGGTATGAAAGAAGAGACATCACTATCGACCTTACAGAAACATAAAAGATATCATGAGGGAACACTATGAACAACTATATGGCAACAAAGTAGGTAATCTGGATGGAATGGGAAAAATCTCTAGAAGGCCACAAACCACCAAAACTGACTCAAGAAAAAATAGAAAAATCTGGATAGACCTGTAATAAGAGATTGAAATAGTAATTTTAAAAGTTCCTACAAAAAAAAGCTTATGCCCACATGGCTTCCCTGAAGAATTCTCCTAAACATTTAAAAAGGAACTAACACCAATTCTTCACAAACTCTTTCAAAAAAAAGAGGAAACACTTCTCAAATTATATTCTATGAGGCCAGTATTATCCTGATACTAAAACCAGGCAGTAGGTAAATATCTTATGAATACGGACATAAAACTCAACAAAATAGTAGCAAATTAAATCCAGCAACTTATAAAAGGATGATATACCATCACCAAGTAGGATTTATCCCAGATATGTAAGGTTGGTTCAATGTAAGAAAATCAGTGTAATATACTTATTATTAATAAAGTACAAAAATCTGACTATCTCAACAGACCCAGAACAAGCATTCCACAAAATCCAACAACCTATCTTGATAAAAACTCTCAACAAACTAAGAATAGAAGGAAACTTCTTCAAATGGATAAAAGATATCTATGAAAAAAACCACAGCTAATGATAAAACACTGAACGCTTTCCTCCATAGATCAGGAACGAGACAAGCATACTCTCACCATTTCTACTCAACATCGTACTGGAGGACAAGAAAAAGAAATAGAAGGAATCCATATTGAAAAAGAAGAAGTAAAATTTATCTTTTTTGCTCACATGATCTTATGTATAGAAAATATTTTTTGTTTTTTAAGATTTATTTATTTATTTGACAGAGAGAGAGAGAGAGAGAGAGCACAAGCAGGGGGAGAGGGAGAAGGAGAAGCAGACTTCCCACTGAGCAGGGAGCCTGATGTGGGGCTCAATCCCAGGACTCTGGGATCATGACCTGAGCCGAGGGCAGATGCCCAACTGACTGAGCGACGCAGGCACCCATTATGTATAGAAAATCTTAAAAGAATCTACTAAAAACTATTAAAACTAATAAATGAGCTCAGCAAGGTTGGAGGGGGCAGGGTCAATATACGACAATTAATTGTACTTCTATATACTTACAATGAGCAATCTGAAAATGAAACAAAGGAAACAATTCAATTTATAATAGCACTGAAAAGAAAAAATATATAGGAATAAATTTAACAAGTGCTAGCTTTTTATACCCAAAACTGTAAGACAAGTGTTTAAAGAAATTAAAGAATACCTAAATAAATAGAAAGATAACAGGCTCACGGACTGAAAGACTTAATATTGTTAAGGTAGCAATACTCCCAAATCTGATCTATAGATTCAACACAATTTCCATAAAAATCCCAACTGCTTGGGGCGTCTGGCTCAGTTGTTAACCATCTGCCTTTGTGTGTGTGTTTGTGTGTATGTGTGTGTGTGTGTATAGATAGATAATTGTTTTTTTTTTAAGATTTTATTTATTTGACAGAGAAACACAGCGAGAGAGGGAACACAAGCAGGGGGAGTGGGAGAGGGAGAAGCAGGCTCCCTGCTGAGCAGGGAGCCCGATGTGGGGCTCGATCCCAGGACCCTGGGATCGTGACCTGAGCCGAAGGCAGACGCTTAAACAACTGAGCCACCCAGGCGCCCCTGGATAATTGATTTTTGACAAGTGTGCCAAGACTGCAGAAAGAATAGTCTCTTCAAGAGGTACTTGAGACAACTAGATATTGGAATGCCAAAGAATAAAGCTGGATCCCTACCTCATAACACATTAAAAAATGATCTCAAAATGGATCAATCATCTAAAACTGTACGACTCTTACAAGAAAACATAGGGGTAAATCTTCATGATCTTGGATTTGGCATATTCTCAGATACGACATTAAAAGCTTGAACAAGAAAGGAAAAAAATTATACTTCATCAAAATTAAATATTTTTGTGCATCAAACAATACTAGCAAGAGAATGAAAAATACAACCTACAGAACTGGAGAAAACATTTGTAAGTCGCATATCTGATAAGGGTTTGATAAGCAGACTATACAAAGAACTCTTACCACGCAACAGCAAAAAGACAAATAACCCAGTTAACCCAGTTAAGTAATAGGAAAAGGATTTGAACAGACATTTCTTCAAAGATATATAATTGGCCAACAAAGATATCGTAAGATGCTTAAGATCATTAGTCAACAGGAAAATGAAAAATAAAGACCACAATGAAATACTACTCTACATCCACCAGGGTAGTTATCAAAAAGAGGGGAAAATAACAAGTGTGGGCAAGGATGTGGAGATACTTGACCCCATATATACTGCTGGTAGATATGCAAAATGGTGCAGCTGCTGTGGACAACAGTTTGATGGTTTCTCAGAAAGTTAAACATAAAATTACCACATGACCCAGCAACTCCACTCTTAGGTCTATATTCAAAGGAACTGAAAATAAGTACTCAAACAAATATTTGTACATGAATGTTCATAGTAGCACTATTTACAGTAGCAAAAGGTGGAAACAACCCACATGTCAATCAACAGATGAACAGATAAACAGAATGTGGTATACACATACAAAGAAATATTATTTAGCCATAAAAAGGAATGAAGTACTGATGTGCTATGTGGATGAACTTCAAAAATGTGCTAAGTGAAAGAAGCCAGTCACATATTGCATGATTCCATTTACATAAAATGTCCAGAAATAGGCAAATCTATAGAGATATAATTGCATGATTCCATTTACATAAAATGTCCAGAAATAGGCAAATCTATAGAGATATAATTGCATGATTCCATTTACATAAAATGTCCAGAAACAGGCAAATCTATAGAGACAGAAAGTAGTTTAGTGGTTGCCTGGGGCTGGGAGGCCTGGGAGGAAATAGAGAAATGAGTGGTAGTGATAGAGGATTTCCTTCCAGGGTGATAAGAATGTTCTGAAATTTACCATGATAAACAGTTTTGTGAATATATAAGAGCCACTGAATTGGGCGCCTGGGTGGCTCAGTTGGTTAAGTGACTGCCTTCGGCTCAGGTCATGATCCTGGAGTCCCAGGATCGAGTCCCACATGGGGCTCCCTGCTCAGCGGGGGGTCTGCTTCTCCCTCTGACCCCCCATTCTCTCTCTCAAATAAATAAAATCTTTAAAAAAAAAAAGAGCCACTGAATTGTACACTTTAAATGGGTGTTGTGGTATGCAAAATGTATCTCAATAAAGTTACTTTAAAAAGTTAATAGCTTATTATTTACACAATATGCTTATACATATCCTCTCACTCAAGGCTTACAATAATCCTAAGGAGGAAGCTGAGGCAGGAAGAAGGTAAGGGACTCATTCAGATCACCTGGCCAGTGAGTCTGAATTGAGCCTAGACAAATGTCAGCACTCTTTCCACAAACAAGCTACCTTTTATACCACCTGCACCCACCTTGAAGTTTTTTTTTTAAAGGGGCAGGCCTAGAATAAGTTTAAGAACCTAACAACTAAAGATGACATCTCACTACTGGTGCTGCTGGCTATAACATGGGATGCTAATGGTGTTTACATAGAAAGACCGTTATCAAGATTAAATGAGATCAAGTAGGCTCCTGGTGTGGAGCCCAACACGGGGCTTGAACTCACCCCCACTCTGGGATCAAGACCTGAGTTGAGCTCAAGAGTCAACGCTTATGTGACGGAGACATAGGTGCCACTATACAGACTTTTATTAAGTGAAAAGGAGAAAGTTTCTGAGTTACTATATTGCAGTGCCTTACAACTAAACAAATGAACTACAAAAAAAAAAATGCTCAATTTTCTGTAAATGGATCTGAACTTAATTATCATCTCTGTAAACATTTCTCTCATCACTGAAAAAAGTCACAGACTCAGCCAACTGTCTCATTAATATAAAGTGAAAAATACAAAAACCAAGTTTGAGATGAGCCACCCATTACTCTCCAGCTATTCTGTGATTTTTTTTTTAAATTTTATTTATTTGTCAGACAGAGAGAGAGAGAGAGAAAACAAGCAGGGGGAACAGCAGGCAGAGGGAGAAGCAGGCTCCCAACTGAGCAAGGAGCCCGATGCGGGACTCGATCCCAGGACCCTGGGATCATGACCTGAGCCAAAGGCAGACACTTAAACGACTGAGCCACCCAGGATTCCCTACTCTGTGATTTTATCACGGGGCCCTATTGGCCTTATATAAGGATCTCACGGGGCACCTGGGTGTCTCAGTCGTTGAGTGTCTGCCTTTGGCTCAGGTCACAATCCTAGGGTCCTGGGATCGAGCCCTGAGCTGGGCTCCCTGCTCAGCGGAAAGCCTGCTTCTCCCTCTCCCACTCTCCCTGCTTGCATTCCCTCTCTCGCTGTGTCTCTCTCTGTCAAATAAATAAATACAATCTTTAAAAAAAAAAGAATCTCGTTAAGCTCTCCACTGTTCAGAAATACAAATTTTAAGCCATCCTTAATTATCTGGCAACTCTAGCAGTTTCTTCAGTCCTGTTTGTTCCAACATAGGTAACCTTGAAAGCATTTATACTCAAAACAAATGTCTATTACTTGCTGCTGACTGAAAGCCAAACATTCTTGTCCAGGATAACTAACTATACTTAATATGGTCTCCAAAAGGGACAGATTTCCAAATGAAATGGAACTAACTGTGGTCAGAGAAAATTCTATTTTTCTTTCATGTTATTAGTTAGGTAGAAAAGGCTCCTAGTTCTGAGGACTATTTTATTTCTAGAGACAACAAACACGTTTAATTTTACTGTGAAATTACATTATAAGATAAGGAAGAACTCATGCTCCCAGGGTGCTGGGATCGAGCCCTACATCGGGCTCCTTGCTCAGTGGGGAGTCTACTTGTCCCTCTCCCTCTGCCTGCCACTCCCCCTGCTGTGCTCTCTGTCAAATAAATAATAAAATCTTAAAAAAAAAAAAAAAGGAAAGGAAAAAACAAATACTGAAGCAGCTTTTGACTATCAAAAGGCAATTTAACATTTGAGTTTTCAAAAAAAAATATAGAAAAACTATGCTGGAAGGATAGTCAGATACTTAACTCAGAAATTATGAGAAGTTCTAAGTCCTGAATTCTGGGAAGATGGGGCTCCACATATGAGTTTCTTCATTAAGGAATTACAACCTTACCTTTTTTTCAACACCTCCCTCTTCTCTATGCGGTTGAACAGTTCTTGTTCTCTCTCCTTCTCTGTCATCTGCTCCAGACGGGCCCGGTCTTCCTCATCGCCCATGAGGTCTTCTCCATAGCCATCATGGAACTCTTCATCTTCTGAGGAAGAGTCTGAATCTGAACTGGAGGAGGAGCTGTTGCTGTCAGAATCTGACACCTCACCTACAACAAGGCCCAAACACAAGATTAGCCTATGCTACAGAAGACTGAGGCCACAGAGATGACCCCACAGTGTTGATAATCATTGCCACCCCCCCTTTTACTGAAGTAAGCTCTATGCCCAATGCAGGGCCTAAATTCGTGACTCTGAGATCAAAACCTAAGCTGAGATCAAGAGTCGGACGCTCAACTGACTGAGCCACCCAGGTGCTCCTAAGACTCATAATTCTTAGGTAAATCAGTTATCACCATGAAGGTTGAAAAATGATGATTTTCAATAATTTCTTCTATATTTATTAGTTGGCATTTAAAATATTCAATGTTTTAATGAGTCATTACACTGACTGGTGAATTCTCAATGGAACTGGATCTTGATAGGATAAAGGGTGATGGAAAAAGGCAGTATACATCACAAATGAGTATTAAGGGGCGCCTGGGTGGCTCAGTTGTTAAGCGTCTGCCTTCGGCTCAGGTCATGGTCCCAGGGTCCTGGGATCGAGCCCCGCATCGGGCTCCCTGCTCGGTGGGAAGCCTGCTTCTCCCTCTCCCACTCCCCCTGCTTGTGTTCCCTCTCTCACTGTGTCTCTGTCAAATAAATAAAATCTTTAAAAAAAAAAAAACAAAAAAAAAAAAAAAAAAAAACAAATGAGTATTAAGTTAAACTAGCAATTTAATAAGAATTTACTTAACTTAATTTGAGCTAACATTCACAGGCAATGTGCTTAAAACCAGGTTTGGCCAATTCTATACAGGCCAGTTTGCACATAAATGTTATTTCTTAAAAGAAATGTAAGGTGTATCATTCTAGTCCCGGAACAAGTTCACTTTCATTCCAGTGTCAGCAAAAATTCTGGAACTGGTTTCAAAATAAGAACATTTTTTTCACTGAGTTTTGTATCTGGTTCAAGGATTTTCCTCCTCAGCCAGACCATGCATGTATAACCAAGAAGAGGGAAAGAGGATACACTCAGGGTAAAGTGAGTTGAGACTCTAATGCAGGGACTCCTCATGGGTTTGCTGGATGGACTTTAAGGGCCTCACTAACCCTTGGGAATTGTGTATTTTTCTTGCTTCAGATTCTCAAAGGATCCATGACCACTGAGAAGGTTATGGACCGGTGCAATAAACATGGAGGCTATGCTGTAATGCAGACCTGTCCACGCCCCCCACTGCCCCACCCCATTTCTGACTCTGTAGCTTCAACCTGACAAGAGTGGGAGTTCACCCCCAGGTCTGGGCCACCTGGCTCACCTTCCTCAGGGGCTGAGCTCTCAGCAGAACTGTCTTTATCCGAACTGCCTGAGGAAGCAGTTTTGTTGGCTTGTTTCTTCATGGTTCCTTTCTTCTCTATTTTTCTGGCCTTTCCTTTCTTCTTATTTTTATTGCTCCCAAATGTCCACTACAATGAGAAAAGAAAAAGGAAAACTAAAACAAGGACTTTATTGGGAAAAGCTGTAAGAGTCAAGAGTCGAGTCTCTGATATTCATCAAAATGATTACAAGAGTCTCTACTGCTTTCAACCCAAAACAAATATACTGTATATGAAGAAAGATGGATTTTTTTCCCAAACCTTGCTTAAAACTTCGTAAGTTCTAGTTTGCAATTTCTTAGAGATGGTAGATAATGGATATAACAAAGATAAAATTTAAATAATGTACTTTTTAATCACAACAGAAAAACAAAGATATGAACCTTACGACAAGTCAACTGAGCTAACTCAGTTGGTACAGAACATAGCTTCTAATGTTTCTTGTGACACAGAGGTCAGTCATTGCTAGAGGTTGGTATGTCTGGGTTTCAATACACAGAGGATGGTTTAGTTCTGGAGTGGGTCCCAGGAAGGCAGGGAATAAGGCTTGTTAGCAGGAGAAAGCTGCAGAAAGCACAGGAGAAAGGATGAAGGCCAATCCCTGGCATGGATGGTAGCGCTGGTACCAACCGCAGGGAGGCAGAGAGTAAACTCTATTATTAAATATATATACGTGTGTGCATCTTTTTTCTTTTTAATCTGCGTATGTAACACTACAACATAATGTTTAAATTGGATCATAAGCAGGAGATCCTAAAGACATAAGGAGCTTGCAATTTGGGTTAACAAATAACAGGCAGGCAATACACAGTCACCTCAAGGCCAGTAAAATTGTCTCCATGAAGCACCTTAATCGTAAAAATGAAAGACTATATGGTTGTTTTAAAAATTCACAAAAACTATTTGGCTATATTGGGGTGCCTGGGTAGTGCAGTGTGTTAAGCACCCGACTCTAAGTTTCGGCTCAGGTCATGATCTCAGGGTTGTGAGATCGAGCCCTGTGTTGGGCTCTACCCAGCACAGAGGTGGCTTAAGATTCTCTTTCTCCCTCTCCCTCTGCCTCTCATCCCCCTCAAATAAATAAATAAAGCTTTAAAAAAAAAAAAAAAAGACTTAACTATCTGGTTATATTAAACCATACCTCATTTGATAGTTTAACTTGCCAATTTTAGGAGGATGATTTTAGGTGAAAAATACTTTCCTTGGGAGCTTTATTTTATGTACCACAAAAAATAATCATTTTTCTAGCACCACACTGAATTACAGATCTGGTATTAACAGAAAATTTCTACATCTACTATTTAACAAAAGTACAAAGTCTTTGTTACTCCTATAATGTGATCATAAATTGATTTCCTACCTCACAATAGTTAAGATCAGAAGTAAATTTATTTTGGGGGTATTTTTTGGGGGTGGTGGAGGGGTAGTTCTGGTGGAGTTTCCATCTTAGAAAGGTCCTTATGAGCTATTCTTAAAAGCCCACAGTCTGCCAGATTAAAGTACTGAAAAATCAAAGAATTAAAATCCCTTTCACATTTTAATTTACTCTTAGTTATTTTTTAAAAAAATTTGAGAGAGAGAAAGAGAGAAGAGTGCGCACACGTGCATGCACATGAGCAGGGGGAGGGGCAGACAGAGAGAGGGAGAGAAGCAGACTCCCTGCTAAGTGGGGAGTCTGATGCGGGGCTCGATCCCAGGACCCTGACATCATGACCTGAGCTGAAACCAAGAGTCAGACGCTTAACCAACTGAGCCACCCAGCCGCCCCTACTCTTAGTTATTTTAATTGACACTTATTTTTGTACTTAAGAGCTAAGAAGAAGGGAAAAGTGAAAAAAAAAGTCACATGTTCAAGAATGATATATTAAATGAGTAAAGAGCAACTTTTCTTTATTAAGTGAATTTACCCCTCAAACTTTAACATTTTAACACCTAGATTATTATTTAGTAAGAAATCCCAATGCTTCTCCTCTAAAGCCTACTTTTCTTTTTTTTTTTTTTATGATTTTTTATTTGACAGAGAGAGAGACAGCGAGAGAGGGAACACAAGCAGGGGGAGTGGGAGAAGGAGAAGCAGGCTTCCCGAGGAGCAGGGAGCCCGATGCGGGGCTCGATCCCAGGACCCTGGGAGCATGACCTGAGCCGAAGGCAGACGCTTAACGACTGAGCTACCCAGGTGCCCCTAAAGCCTACTTTTCAACCATTTCAAACTTTAATCACTCAAGGAAGATAATTTTTAGGTCAGTTTGAAAGAATCCAAAAGAGGCCAAAGGGTTCAATTTCTTAGTCAACTCAGCTAAAATGTATCAACTTCCCATGCTGACAATACACATATTTCTATAGGCAACAATGTATAAAACACCTTTTGTATGGGCTTTGTTTACAAGAAATAGCACACCTACACACATAATAAGTAGTCAGTAGTTACTGGTTGGTTATGAAACCTCTTCCAGTGTGTCTTGGCCAATGGGAATATGAAGAAGCCAAGAGGGTAAAGACTGAGCTACCAGTGTCACATGTGTGTTAAGAGTGGCTAGGTCTATTTCTGCCTACAGGTTGCAGTTTCTCATGTGCAACAGAGTCAATTCTGAACTCCCTAGAAGGGGAAAAAAAATTTCTATGAGAGCAAAAAAGGTGAATGTTAAATCAGGTCACACAGGTGAGTCGAATTCAGGATGTGCCAGGAAGCTACCCAGCTTCCTTATCCTTCCCCTCTCTATCTGCTTCAGTCTGCCACTGCCTGAGTCTAGCAACTGTCACTCATCTGCAGTTTATGCTATTTATCCCTTGGGGGAGAAGGAGGAAAGATAAGAGTAAAAATAGAAGAAAATAAAATGTTTTGACTTCAAAAGGGCTTTCCTGGCTAAATCTGAGTGGGAAGGGAACCTCGTTTTTTTCCTTCCAGAAACTTCAAAAGAAATGAGACAATAAAACCACCTTCATCTCCCATGACAATGACTCAATAGGGTCTGCCATGCCACTGACAACCAGCGTCACATATATGTGACAGGGAGGGTTTTAGGGGAATTGTACGTACATGACTTTACTTTAAAATACAAAATCTTGGGGCGCCTGGGTGGCTCAGTCGGTTAAGTGACTGACTCGATTCCGTCTCAGGTCATCATCTCAGGATTGTGAGATTGAGCCCTGCAACGGGCTCCAACAGACTCCGTGCTCAGCAGGGAGGCTGCTGGAGATTCTCCGCCCCTCTCCTGGCTCATGCTCTCTCTCTCTAAAATAAAAATATATAAATAAATCTTTTAGAAAGTAAAAAAATAAAAAATACGAATTCTTATGAATATGCCTTTCAGTACTGAGAAGCTGGATTAAGCTGTTTGTATATTTACTTTCTAAAAAAGTATCTTATTTTTGATACAACTTTAAAATCGAATTTTAAAAACAATATATGCTCATTATATGAATCTTTGACAACCTACGAAAGTACTTTTAAAGTTTTAAAAAAAAATCACTTGGGGATGCTGGGTGGCACAGCTGGTTAAGCGTCCAACTCTTGGTTTTGGCTCAGGTGGTGATCTCAGGGTCGTGAGATCAGGCCCCATGACAGGCTCCATGCTCAGCACAGTCTACTTGAGATTCTCTCTCCCTCTGTCCCTCCTGCTCATGCTCTCTCTCTCTCTCTAAATAAATAAATCTTAAAAAAAATTACTTGTATTTCACCACCCAAAGATAAATAATCATTTAAAATGTGGGGGCCAGTCTATTATTTATGTATTATTATTTAATATAGAGAAAGACACTCAAATGAGTTCCAATCATCTTCTAAAGATTTTTTTTTTTCCTGGAGAATAGATCACATTTGTTTTTTGTTTATTTATTCTATTTTGATTCCAGTATAGTTGACATACAGTGTTATATTAGTCGCAGATCATTTGTGTGATCTTTTTGACTTTTACGCCCATAAACTACAGGTTACTGAATGGTTTTGGTCTAAGCACCTATTTGAAATATTTGTCCAGCATCTCTTCTCCCAAGATCACGGTCTCTGATAAACCATAAAGAACAGGGTCAAAGCTTATGGCAGGTAACATCAATACAGAAATATCTTAATCCGGTTATACAGCCCAGAGGTTGCTCCCCTGTTCCGGCAAAAGACTTACTCTGTTGACTCTAAGACAGAAGGTAAATGAATCCTTCTTTCATTGCCAGAGTGTGGTAGTAAATGGAGTCTAAAGAATAAAGGACAGGATTAAAGGAATACTCTTAGGCTTTCCCCATCCAGCAGAGAGTACAGGAAATGACCTGGCATTTTATTTTTTATTTTTTTAAAGACTTATTTTAGAGAGGGAAAGAGTGTGTGTATGCGAGCATGAGTGGGGGGAGGGGCAGAGGGAGAGGACCTTCAAACAGACTCCCTGCTGAGCACGGAGCCCCAGGCGGCGCTCCATCTCAGGACCTGTGAGATATGACCTGAGCTGAAATCAAGACCAACAGCCGGGCGCTTAATTGACTGCGCCACCCAGGTGCCCCTGACTGGCATTTTAAAATGTGTTTTGGGAACTGTGACTCTACTGAAAGGCAGGCTCTGCTGTGACCTTGGACGTGGCACATGGAAGGCAAGCATGGAAAGGTAAGTGCCTGCGGATGGGCATCTGAGTACAAAGGCCAGAGCGTCCCCAGTGACAGCTGCTCAAAAACAATGTGGGAAAGGGCAAGGATGTGTTGCCAGTCAGGAGCGTCACACACATGACTTCCTGTTCGCCCAGGCCTTCTATGCGGAGGCAGGCCCACACTCACCATCAGGGAAGCGTCATGTAGACAAGCAGTTAAGAAAACCTCAAACAGAGATTGGAAAGAAGATGTGTTCTTAACTACTGAATTAAAATGAGCACTTTGACTCTCGCTGATGTAACAGATACTATAACGGGCAGCATGATCTAATGATACAAGGAGGGTTAGTACCACACAACCCTGTACCAGCTTTAGTGTGTGGGGGTGGTGTAGGCTGGGCCTACTCTGAGAAGCAGCTGACAGACTGGAGGAACATGGGGTGGCAAGTGATTGTTCTGGACTTGGGTAGTATTGAGATGCCGGATTTTGAACACCCTGAGGCAGAAACTTTAAGATTTCAG